AGGTGGAAGCTGGAGGATCTGTCTCCATTTTCTCCACCTCTTTAAGTTGATCTCGTTTTAGACCTGATACCGGTGTTGTCCCGAAACTATAATTCTCTATTTCCTCCTTGGATTTGAGGTCAATTCCTATTGTGAGGACCAGACCATGGCCTAGATAGGGATATGTTACAAGAGAAAACATCAAGAAAAAGCGTACCAACTTCAGTAGTGTCCCATAGGAGACCATTAAAGTTAATATTTTACTTTAATAGGGTTAAGTTATGCCACTATTACTAGAAATAATATCGACAGATTTCAAGAAAGTCTGCAACGTTTATAGGAACTTTTTTCCATATTTTTTGACGAAAAATCACTCACTAAAATTAGCCGTGGATTTTTCGAACACCCCGTATGTATAAACTTCTCGAACACCCGCGGTAAATCGAATGGCAGCAGAACGTCTAAAAACTAATGCGTAAAAAATGCAAAAATCTTAAAATTATACAAAAAAAAAATAAAAAAAAACAGATCTTACAAAAGACTAGTACTGGTTTCAAATGTGAGATGAGAATTTTTTATGCTTGTTAAAAATACTTTTTAAAGCTTGCTCTTACACCGTCCAGAATACTAAAGTATTTTTATTTTAATTAAAAACTAAACGACCGGATGTCTTAAGAAGTTTTCTCTAAGTCTCTACTTTTCATCTTATCACTACTTGCACAAAACGCTTATTTTTTTTTCCTTTTATCTTAAAAGTTATTCGACTAACATACCTATTTTCGGCTAAAAACTTCCGATAAAATAAATATATTACAAAAAAATGCACCTAACTATTTAAAATAAAATAAAAATGTAAAAAGGAATGAAATATTTGTTGCATAGAGATCTTTTTCTTATAGTCTAAGAGCCAGTGGCAGGAAACCTATATGTAATTAATAAAGCCTGAAATTTTGTCAAGTGAGTCTTTCATACTTGCCAACCATGCGAGGTGGACCCTTGAGTTACTTGAGTTACTAACTTTAAAAGTATTTTATAAACGATATCGTTTTTAAATTTTACAATACAGGGTGTTCTTCAATGACATGCTAATATTTAAGGAGGTGATTCTTGGACATATTCTAAAAAAAAAACTTCATATGAATATACATATGTCCTAAACATCTTAACTTTTTAGATACAGGGTGGTAAAATTTTCTATTTTTTTTTCAAAATATCTCAGATGGCATATTTGATACACATCTTCTAATACATCAAAATGGGGCTTATTTTGATATACAGAAAAAATTGTTTCATTTATTAATTTCCTTCCAGCGATTGCAGAAATTATTTCCACATAACAGTCATCGGTCATCGCATCATATTTTCAGCGATTTGACCGTGAAATAAACTGACTTTAATTTTTTAGGCAAGAACTAAAAGAACTTATTTAGAACTTTTTTCTGACGAAAAAAAATCAAGAGACAAAAAATGTTTAGAAATGAATGGAGAATTTGAAAATAATTTTTATTTTCAGAGTCAGTGGTGTACCACTTTTTTCTCCAAAAATATTCAATGTTGTGTTACCCATATGGACGGCACTGGTTGAAATAAATAAAAAAAATTGAAAAAAAACAAAACAAACCAAAACAAAATATTAAGATATCTGTGATAAAATCAGAGTTATTATAAAAAAAGTTTTTCTTTAGAAAAATTTACCACCCTGTATCTCAGAAATTTGTTTAGAGATGTTTAGGACATACATTCCCATGAAGTTTTTCTCTTAGAATAGGTCCAAGAATCACCTCCCTAAATATTAGCATGACATTCAGGAACATCCTGTATCGCGGCTAACGTCATATTCAAGGTCTGACTGTTTTGACAGTTCTACCGAAGTGGTCGAGAATTAGTAGTCGTAAACAAACCTATTGTTATCATTAGTTTCGCAACAAATCTGTGCTTTTTACGCGTTTCTATGCTAATAAAATTATACTAAATAATTTTGAGTGTACTCTGAGTGAATAGTGAACTATCTAGATCCGATTCATAACATCGTACCCGCGAAAAAAGCCATACTTTCGGTAAAAATTATAGTAACACCGGCGATGCCGGCTGTGTATCCGGGCTAGGAAAAAGTTGGGAAATTTATATAAAAACCTAATTAATAGCGTTAGTGTTAGTGTATACTGTTGAACCAACGTAAGTGACGTGTATTTTTAGTAAAGCAGTTTTCGTTTCTTTATTTTTACTTTGTGAAATAAAAAATGCCGCGACATTGTTCTGTGCCTTGTTGTAGCAGCAATTATAATAAGTCCTCAGGATCTGTTTTACGTTCTCTTTCCCAAGGGACCCAGGAAAACGTAAGAAATGGATATCTGCTGTCAATCACGAAAAAGCTTTCACTGTAATAAATACTTCTGCTGTTTGTGAGAAGCATTTTGCAGAATGCCATGTGATAACGGAAAATTCAGCTAAAAGGGCTAGGCAGATGGCACAATATTAACTCTAACTAGGTCACGTCCAAAACCTACAGAAGATGCTGTGCCTACAATTTTTCCAAATCAACCCTCTTATACATGTTCCCATAAAGAGAAAACATCCCAATGCAAAAAAACAAGATTTGGAAATTCAGGATGAAATAAATATTGAAAATTATTATTAAATATATATTATTATGAAATGGCAATATATTTTAAAGAAATTAAATGAATTATTGTACTTTGTTTCACTATTTTATATAAAAAAATGATATCTTTATCTTTTTATTTACGATTTATGGAGACGGTTACTTGATGAACATCGAACTACAAATTACTTAATGATAATAGTTAATTCTACCTGATATCCACATTTTTTATAATGTTAGGCAAATTTTTACAATTATTTTTAATTAAACTTTAAAATGTATTCTGCCCTTATCATATACAATATATTTTCTTAACTTGTCGATAAACGTATAGTTTTCAATTTTTTTAATATTTGGAAACTTTTTATCACAAGGTATATTATTACTAGTTGCTAAATACTCGCTAACGCAATTTTAGGACATGCTTTTTATTATCTGGATTTTATTCTGTTCATCTTATGCTGTAGTTTATTTCATATTAATATTCGTGTTTTAGATCTAAATTTTAATGCTATTCAATTACTTTAACGCGATAAAAAGTTAATATTATTTTTTAATACCTTTGTGTATAATGTTTTTCATATTTATATCTGGCAAAACTATCATGCAAAAACTATATGCAGTACCATATGGCACAATTCAAAAGCCCGACTATTGCGGTGACGTCACAAATCGATGTCTCTGGCCTGTATCTCATGTTGGTTATGCCTGTATATACGTCGTACAAAATAAAAACCGTTGCGGGCTATCGATTAGGCTAATAAATGTGTGCAGTGCTACCACTACACAAATATGGCCCTTATGGGACGTTTTCAATGAGTTTTAAATCTCCCACTCGATATTGTGTTGGCAACGGCGAGGAAGCGGTTGCAGCGGTGCCACGTTTATTTGACATTTGCCAGAATTTTCTGAACGTTAGTTGAGAGTTGTGTCCCGTGAATATTGAATTTTTTAAAACCTTTATCTATCGATCGAAAACAGTTGTTTTCCGAATATTTTGTGTAGTAGTTGTTAGTTTTTTCTTTGAAAATGCCTAAGCAGTTAAATAGTCGGTGCCAAGAATTAGTGTCATCTCTGATACAATATAATGAGAAAGAAAGGGACAATAACGGCCCGTTATATTATAATAAAGTATTTTAAAGTAGACCAGTGAAGTGAGTTTTTTTTTATTTTGAGGAACAAAACCTACTAATCTTCTATGGAAAATACTTATTAGTTCTTGGAATATTTCAAAAAGTTGCCTATATATTTTATAATCATTTACCACTCTTTATAAAGATAATATTTTGAATTGCCCGAAACCCAGACTGTTATTAATTAAACAAAATGTTTAAAACAATGTTTTTAAGACACCATTACTTGTTTTAAATATTTGTTTAAAACAGAGTATTAAATAGGTTTGGTGTGTAGGTGTTTATTTCAATAAAAAATGAGAAAAACTCTTTCAAAATAAAAAAACAACTATAATTCAAAAGGAATAAAAAACAGAGTAATCAGCTCAACTTAATATTGTCTAAATAAACTATAACTTTACTACTACTTGGAGGAGCACCATTAAGGTTTCTAAAATTGAATTAAGTTTTGTCCTTTGGCTTTATCATTACTCAACATGATATGGTTTAAAACAGAGTATAAAAAGTGTTGTAAATATATTTTCGACTTTGTATTTACAATGTTCTTTAAAACCATAAAAATTTGTTTTAAACAATAAAAAAAACATGTTTTGTTTAAAAATATTTTTTTCCAGCGCTGCTTGAAACTATTTGAAACTGTTAACAATTTAAAGTTTATTTTAGAATTTTTAATAGATCTTAGATATAGTAAATTTTTCAAAAATATTTCTCTTCCGATTACAATCTGGCAACAATGCTGTCTACAATCAACGCACGTGCTCTATGACATGCAACGGTTTTTATTTTGAACGACGTTTATTTAAAAATATCAATGAGCAGACGACTATCGGGCTTCCGAGGTCATGGCAGACCTTTAAGTAACAAAAATTATCTATAATTTCAAAAAAGTATTTTATTAAATCTGATTTTTAAACAGGGCTATTCACCTCATTCGATGGGATTGATCAAGGACTACTAAAGCTACAATTTAAAATGCTTTTCAAAAGAACAGAGTGTCCCAAATAATTAAAAATGTCGAAAGTTAAATTTTTTAAATGAAACACCCTGTATATTATAACATTTTTAGTTTCTACGATTAAAATAAAGGTAAATTTAATTACGGTTTACCGCACTTTAATCTTACCATTTTTGAAATATTTACGATTTTGTGAAAATGCAGTAACAATTTTAATGCTTCATTACTCTAGGCGTATTTATCTTTCTTAAGGCCAACTGGCACTAAGCGCCATTAATAAATAAAGTAAAAGCAGGGCCAAGTAATGACGTCTAGCGCTTGACCTGGCCAAAATTATCATCGATTGTCATTCCACAGCCGCCTTTGACGCCTTTTTTTCGATCGTATGGCATAAAGGAGACTCGCGGTGTCTATTTTATATAAAGAAAAAATTTGTTATAATAATCTAAACCACCACTTTGTAAAACGATTTAGCTTAGGATTACATTGAATACAGCATTTTTTCTAAGAAATTCTTCTTTATCACTATATTTGCCTCAATAAAATAAAGAAAAAGTATATAAAAAGACATCACCAAAGTTATCCGAGAAATCTAGCTATGCAACAAATTTCCCAAACCAAAGTATAAAAGAAAATTAAGTAGTAAAAAGTAATAAATAACGCATATTAGTCTTAAAAATAATATAGCACAAAAATTGTCGACAGAAAAAATGCAAACAATAAAAAAACGCACACAACGATAAAATGATATGTAAAAAAATGTTTTTTTAAGTAAAAAAGCATTGCATTCCTTCTGATTTATGTAATCAAAAGCGATTACCTCAGTTTGATTTCAAAAAAATAATGTCAGAATCGAACAAAACCCTGATATTTGCTTTCACTTCTCGAGTATATCCGTACTCCATTTTGTATATAGTAAATTGTATATACTTTAAAAATAAAAAATAATATTAATAAAATACACACAGTAAAAATGGGAAGTAGCATGAGTACGACGCCCCTGGTTGGCGGCCGTTTTATATACTAAATTATCCCATCGAAGCTACTTCGACATTACTTTCCCTACTTCTGCACTTTCAGTATAACGTAGCCCTATTTCAGCTTCTGTACGCCCAAGGCGGGCAGCTTGTAGTGCACGATGTGGTAGGGGGGCCCGATGGGGCTCCCCGGCGACGTGTAGCTGGTGGTGACGGGCATGGAGCCCATGCCCATCGATGGAGCGCAGGACCTGCCTCGTTTACGGCGTGGAAGAATACCCTGCAAATTAAAATTTTAACTATTAAAGCTACTGAAGAGAGGGAAATACTCAAGGACTGGGAAATACTCACAAATGAGAGAACATCTCACAAATGAGAGAGATCGCATCTCAGAAATGAGTAAGTAAGTAAATTTAACGTCTTCTTTTTGTTCCTACTTAGTTTACGCCGAATCCGAACCGCGGTCCTCGGCTATATCATGGTCAATGGCTTACCAACTTGGCGAATGTCTAAATCGACTCTTAGAGCGTCCGCAAACGGGTCGTCTGGCTTTCGAAGCGGAAGCGTCTCGAACTCCAAACAAATCTACCTAAACTTCGTACGTAAATAATAGCATCAATCACATCGACTCCCTGTCGACCGCCAAACGACCCGTTCGTGGACCTACTCTTATTTACTTAGAAAGTAGAGATCGAGACGATATCACTTCGAGTTTGAGATGACCATTGTTTGCACGGTCTTACTCACGAAATATCCGATTTCGTCCGGCCTCGAATCGGCGTAAATGAGCAATGTGTGTCAATAGATTTTTACACTCCTGTCATGAAACAACAGCACGACAGAGTCTCATATATTACGTCCATATACTAGTATCGCCTTATGTCGCTTAACTTCGATGATCCATCGGGAACCGGTGTTTCGACGTAGCTGGGGTGTTACCTCTCCTCTCAGAAACGAGGGCCTTTCACAAATGAGAAAGATCCTCTCACAAACGAGAGAAAGCCCTTCACAAATAAGAGAGAGCCTGTCACAAATGAGAGATTTTCTCACATATGACAGCCTCATACAAGTGAAAGAGACTCTCATAAACGAGAGCCTCTCTCTCACAAATGAAAGAGGACTTCCAAGAAATGAGAGAGAGCATCTCAGGAATGATAGAGTGTCTCTCTCTCCTGTAAAATTACGTCTTTGTTCTTCCGGAGCAGCAATATAATCTAAGATACATTTAACAAAATATATGTGTGTTTTTTGGTGTAAATAGAAATATTCATCTGTTTAAGAATCTTTCTATTTTTATAGAGAAAGTAAAAAAAATAATTTCCTGTTTAAAAGTTTCTGTTTCAAATCTTGAAAAAAGGAGTGTTAGTAAGTTTGTCCACTTTGCCTGATACAGGTCTTATATTACTGTTCTAGTGCAGTGATAGCGAACCTTTTGAGCTCAGTGTGTTCATATTTTAATAAAATTGTATATTATAGGTATAATTTTATTAAAAATGTTAATAAAATTATTGATATCCGACTTTCGGACATTTTAATCTGACTACCTACATATAATTAACAAGAAATTTGTAAAAAAATATATGGATGAACAATAATGTTACATGTACAACACGTTTAAAAATTTATGACGTCATTTTTTTAAGAAAACGTCCGTAATTCGGTTGCATGAAAACTAAACTTAAACGTTTTGATATTCTGACATAACCAATTTACCTCTTTTTGTTCTACTATAATTTTTAGTCCATATAATCCTAGGCGGCAGCCTGACATTATTTGTTCTCTTAATATTTCCGGTTAGAGAGAAGATAGAAAGTTGCGGTTTGCCCTGATACTTTGGAAATTTTGTGCTCTATTTAACTGTCCAAAAAGAAAAATAGCCCGCTATTTAAATTTTTTATGCAAACTATTTAAAGACTTCGATTGGATAACCGTTTCTAACCATTTGAAGTCATTAAAGTCAACTAATAAAATTAATATCGGACCATCGTATCAACGGATAACGGACGCATGAAAATCAAGCTTAAGTCCTTGGTGGCCAAATAAGAATGGACGCCGGCTGTATCTCAGAAACTACTTATCGTATAAGTTTGGGAAAAAAATTGTAATAAGTAAACCGGCCAAGAGAAATCGCTGGAAATCATTTTCAGGTTCGAAAAATGTCCGCTAGCGTGCGCATCTCTGATAGCGAATTGAAATAGTAAGCTTGATTTTCATGCATCCGTTATACGTTGATACTAGAGATGAGCAGAAAATCGCAAACTGCGATTTAATCGCAGCGATTGTAAATTCGCAATCGCAACCTGTGATTCATTTCCATAACAAACTGCGACTTGCGATTGAAACATATATCTGCCGATTTTGGATTTTTAGGCAACCAGTATTACACCAGTTGCGATTTGCAATCGCAGTGGGCACGCGAACGAAGAGCTGCGAACGAAAATCACAGCATTGCGATTTTCGTTTGCACCGGCGGTGCATCGACACGGCACTGAGAAGCCGAACGATGAGCTGGGAACGAAAATCGCAATATTGCGATTCTCGTACGCACCGGCTGGCGGCGGCGCGTCATCAACACGGCAGTGGGCAGGCTGCGATTTTCGTTCAGCTCGAAAATCGCAGCTCATCCCAACATTGCGATTGCGATTTTCGTTGGCACCGGCGGCGCGGCATCGGGAGTGGGCACGCCAACGAAGAGCAGCGATTGTGATTTTCGTTCGCAGCTCTCAACACATCGGCCTAGACTAGATCGCAAAATCACATTCGCAATCATGGCCCCGTAATTTTTATGAAGCGTTGGAAAATAGGCTTATATATGTTTATATACCGCATAATATATATGTATAATTTTTTAGTTTTAAATTTTGATAATAGTTTTAGATTTATAATATAATTATGGATTTAGAAGGTTAAAAAATTCTTGTTTTCGGTTATGACTAATTATAGTTACAGTTGCTCCCAGGTAATGATTCAGGTAAAATAATTCATTCAAGGACAGTTTTGGAATCAAATTATAAAAAATTATCTATTTTTATCCTTTATTTACTAGAAGATATAGAGCACGAAAAAGAAACAGCCCTTTCTCTTTATTATATTTTGTTATATGTATATTATATTATTATAAACATTTTTATAACAATCCATAATATAATATAATTTTCTGAACAATTGTGGATCGGCTGCTATGTTAATTTAAATACATCCTTTACAATCAGTTTTTTCATTTTAGAGAAATTTCAAATATAATAAAATGTGATATTGTCCTTTTATTTATCTAAAAGTTCGAAAGTTTGCACTTGCACTGGACGGGCCGTATCAAAGCCGTCGGCGTCGGCTTCTTTTGAGTTACATATAAAGAAAATGTTTTTAAAAGAAAAAAAAGATAAAATAAACAGTTTTTTATCTCGTTATCTGAATTAAGGTTGGCGGCAACCTTTTTTATAATAAATTTTTCTTTAGTATACCTACAGACTGTCTAAAAGCACATTCGAATATTTTGAACATTTTATGTATTTTTTTTCCCAGTTAAATTTATTCGGTATATTCTTATCAAAAAGGAAACTAAGTTATTTGTGGTTTGGTTTGGTTTGATTTTTTTTTGGTAATTGATGAAAATTTTAAGTGCAATATGTGTGCAGAGCAAAAATATAATAAAAAACACTTTAAAAGGCATATGGCATCGAAACACCCAACAGTTTCTTTGTAAGATTTTATTAAAAAAAAAAGTATTCCCCTATTTATTCTGTTTTTTCTCAAAAATTTTGGGATTGAGCTTCCCAGTTTACAGCGTATCAATTTAAAAATATCAAAATCGCAATCGCAGGTTACAGTCGCAGCGATTTACAAATCACAATCGCAGTTTCAACTGCGATTGGAAAATCGCAGTTTTGCTCATCTCTAGTTGATACGATGGTCCGACGGTGCTCTGATTGGTCATAGCGTTTTCGCGCCACTTTTCATCCGTAAATATTTTACTTCAGCCCGTCAACGGACCCGTTCATACGATAACGGACGTTTTGACACTTTTTTGACAAATTTAATCAAACCTTAATAAAAATATATGTAAAATAGCAAAATCGTTATGGAAACGAAAATATAAAATAACACCAACGTATATCCAAACCAAACCAAACCAATCAAAATCTTTAAATTCTACCAATTAAATTAATATCGTATCAACGTATAGTCAGACAACGGATGCATGAAAATCAAGCTTTATACATGCACGTCTGGTTTCAGAATTAAATTATTAATTATTATTAATAATACCCGTAAGTAATAATATTATTATTAATAACCAACTCTGGCCTTTATGAAAAAAAAAATATATTTCAGTTATGATTTTTTTTTATCTTGAAGCGTATCACCAAAAATGAGCTCGCCTGTGCACTGACACGCGTGTCATAGGTTCGCCGCCACTGTTCTAGTTGTTATTGAATATTGAAATAATTTTTTTCCTGATTTGGTACTCACTTTTCTAGCCATGTAGAACCTTATAGTCGATATGGGTATGTTATACTGATCCGAAACCATCTGGAACGTTTGACCTCTCGTGATGCATTCGGCCGCCCTCCTCAATTCTTCGTCGGATCGTCGTATCCTTTTGCTTACCGAACCTAAGGACCAATCTAAATAAACGAGGAGAATGACAATAGAATTTTAGTGGTTTAGTACTCATGCTCATGTTTCCTGCGGAACCGTCGTACTGACACGAAACGTTGGCCATCGCGAAAGAGTCGGGCGTCCTAGAACAGTCTCCGGTGTTGATCATTCGGTCTTCTTCCATCATATCCTGGTCCAGCAGTGATTCGCCGTCGCCTTCGAAGAACGAGTCGTCTCCTTCTTCCTCTATATCTTCTAAAAGGAAAGTAGTATATTAAGCAAGTCTGTACAGGGTGTCCCACTAAGAATAGTTCTCGGCTGTACCTCGGAAAGTATTAGTCGTAGGGCTTGCGGAAAAAAAATATTTATAACTAAAGAGACCATGACAAATTGATGGAAATTATTTTTAAGTTTGTAGAACTGTGCCCTCTAGCGGCTATGGAAAATAAGAAAATGGATTTTTTTTCTAAGTTTTGCCTAGATAAGGTGTACTTTAAATAATAGCTTCACATTCTTCAATAAATTTTGGATCTTTTTTGTAAGAACCATTTTCGCCTATCTGCCAAAATGAAGTGGTAGGGGGAGGTTAGATCTGTTTTTGTTTAAATATTAATAACTCCGGACTGGGTAAACGGAATCCAATAAACGGGGGCTACTTTAAAAGAGCATTTCTTACTCTATATTATACCGTAAAAACAATAATAATAAGCTTTTGAATGTGGACGCTAGAGGGCGCTGTCTTACAATTTTACAAACATTGCGCGTTTTTTTCAGAAAAATTAAATGCAATAGTATATGTAATTTTAGCTGATGGTAAGCTTAAAAAGTCAACGAAACCGCATCTTGATATCTTTTTTCAAACCGAAGATATTAACAAAATTATAATAAATACGAAAAAATAAGTGTATATATAATTAATTCATTACTTTATTTTTATAACACGGTTACAGTAGCCCTCTTGATTATGACCATTCTAATAAAAAATAATATAGAATCGATTAATTTATTCTATAAATCGACAATACACTGTAATACCAGATGATGTATTAATATCTAATAATTAAGATATCAATGACAGTGTAGTTTCCCCTTGGCTTAAGGAAACAAATAAACCATCGACGAAATAAAATGTTCAGTGGACTGTATACTTTCGGTTTATTGTCACTTGAAATTACAAACTTTGAGACAACTAACTAAACAAAAATTATTGTCTCCTTATAAAACATCGAGTCGAAATTAAAAAACAAAGACGACGCGTCTAGTTTGTTTACGCGGAATCCGAACCGCGGTCCTCGCCCATATCATGGTCAATGGCCTACAGACTTAGCAAGTGTCTAAAATCGACTCTTACTCACGAGATATCCGATCTCATCCGGCCTCGAACCGGCGTGAAAGAGCAGTGTATGTCAATAGAATTTACACTTTTGCCTTTTTTTTTGGACAACAGCACGATACAGAGTTTCGAACCGGTCACCCGTCCATCCACTAGTATCGCCTTACGTCGCTTAACTTCGGTGTTCTAATGGGAACCGGTGTTTCGGCGTAGCTGGGCCGTTGCCCTTGTATTTTGATATTCTTAGCGGCGCTTTTTCTCTTTTGAAGAGAGGAATTTTTAGAAAAGCAATCAAAAGATAAAAAAACGTTGCTGAGACTATCAAAATAATATTTTGATGTTTAAACTATCCCTCTAAAATCAACTTTTTTCCAAAGCCTACCATGAATTCACTAAGGCGTCGTTTCTTGTTCACTGTCATCGATATCTTGATTATTAGATATTAATACACCTAGTATTATGGTATTCTGGTACATTGTCAGTTTTTTGAATAAAATAATCTTTTTTGTCTTATTTTTTATTAGAATGGGCATAATCTAGAGGGCTAGTGATAACGTATTAGAAAAATAAGATAATTAAGGGCTGTTTTTTTTTTGGCATTTATTATAATCTTCTTAATAACTTTGGTCTGAAAAAATATAACAAGATGCGGTTTCCGCTGACTTTTTAAGCTTTTATTACTCTTTAGTATCAGCTAAAATTACATATACTATCGCATCTAATTTTTTTGAAAAAAACAGATAGGCGTAAATAGTTCTGACAAAATAGGTCCAAAATTTACTGAAGATTGTGAAGCTATTATTTATAGTACACCTTATCTAGGCAAAACTTCGTAAAAATTCCATTTACTTAGTTTCCATAACAGTTGCGCCCTCTAGCGGCCGTTCTACCAACTTGAAAATACTTTCCAGCAATTTCTCATGGTCTTTTTAGTTATAAATATTTTTTTCCACAAGCCCTACGACTAATAGTTTTCGAGATACAGCCGAGAGCTATTCTTAGTGGGACACTAAAACGCGCCACCCTGTATATTAAAGCAATAATAGAAGCTCTAGCCAAACAAGGTATTGACGGGCCTTATATAGAACTCTTGCCACTATATACAAAGAAGGCAAAGCAAAAGTAATGATATATAAAACAACCCCAGAGTTCCCAATTGGCAAAGGAGTACGGCAGGGAGACGCGATATCCCCAAAGCTGTTTACAGCAACACTAGAAAAAATCTTCCTGGACTGGACCAACAATAAAATTAGATGGAGAATATCATAACCATCTAAGATTCGCTGATGACATAGTCCTAATTGCCAAAAGTCCTGAAAAACTACAAGCACAAATTAACCAACTAAATACAGCCAGCAATAAAGTAGGTCTCAAAATTAATTTGGCAAAAACTAAAGTAATGTACAACGAACTAGTAGACAGAAAATACATCCTAATAAATAAGACAACATTGGAAATAGTAGAAGAATATATATATTTGGGACAACTAACACAACTAACACAGCTCTGGATCTCTACTACCAGAAATCAGATCTCTACGAACAGGAAAATTAAGTTATATTAGTACTTATGAAAGCAAAAGGCAAATAAGCAATAAAAAAAGGCAAGCAATAAAAAAAAAATATGAGTACTTATGGAAGAAACTCAATCATATTCAGATCTAGAATGCCACTTATTCTAACATTTGGCCAATATGTACTACCAGTCATGACCTATGCATGCGAAACTTAAACGGACACTTAAAACGGACATTATAAGGAAACTGCAGGTCTCACAACGCTCAATGGAATGAAATATGTTGGGAATGGCCAAAAAAAGAATGTAAAAGAATAGAGTGGATAGACAAAAGACCCAGGTAACAGATGTCATCCACAGAATCAAATCCCTCAAGTGGCAATGGACAGGACACTTGGCAAGGACGGACAACAGATGGACCCCAAAAATTACAGCATGGTAACCACGAAAAAATTTAGAGACCTAGAAGAAGGCCAAACCTGAGATGCCATGCCATAGAAATTTCTTTAGAAATTTCTTCCCGTTTTAATCGCACAGGACTGGCGTTTGTTGTAGAACGCTGCGTTTCAAAACTGCAAGTGTAAATGGAAAATTGTTAAATTTCCTACGTGTTTTGCGTGGCTCGTAGAATGTTGAATTTTTCAACAGTTTTATAGACGGGTTCTTACAAAATGGAGAAAATCAGGGAACGAAAATGGAAAGTGGCTTTGTGTTTAGTTGTGTATCTTCACAATACGAAGGAAAAATGGAGGTGTTGGGTAAAAACATGGAGAAAAGATCGCAATAAATATGGACATATGCCACTGCTACGCGAGTTGCGTGATAATTTTCCTATGGAGTTTAGAAACTATTTGCGAATGGATTGTGAATCATTTTATGTTTTATTGCATTTGGTTTAATAACAGAAGTTTCCGTCTTTTCCTCTCCAATGTTGCTAATGCTTGGTGTTGGCAATTCTTGATCACTTGTAAACAATAATAACAAATCGAAATACCAAAGTGTTGGTCGATAAATTTCGTCTAAACCTGCTCCACCTCTTTTTAAGTCTTCTATTTTTTTAGTTCGGAACGATCCCCGAAAATTTTGATTTTTTTACGACATAGTCGCGATTTGCATCCGGCGTTATGCTATTACAGAATTGTGTAAGTTCGTAATAAGCTGCGTTTTTTAAATTTCTGTTTGTATAGAATAACTCTAGAATAACAAAAAGGTAAAGGTGTAAGAAGTACATAATAACGTACACAAAATTAACAGTACCTGATTTATCATATGCAAGTCAATAATTAACAAAGGAATACACCACACCCGAAAACAAAACGAAAAGACCAAAAATGTATTTTACCACAAGATTGCATTAGGGATATCGTGCGTGTTTTAACAAGTCTCAAACTTGCGCGATTATTTCGATTTAGACTAGCGTTCTTTCGCGCATGACTGGAACGGCGCGCTCAAATCCCACAGGAAATAGTGCAAATGTAAAGGTACCTATTAGGAAATTAGCAGGGATAACTTGGGTCCGCAAAGCCAACAATAGACAACAATGGGCCCAACTACAAAGAGAGTATCTAAATGTGAGGGAGGCTACACCATAATTGGAAATGGTTGAATAATGTAAAAAATAATTATATTAATTATTTAATTAACGTCTATTATTTTACTATTGTGTGGCCAATTTCTGCCTACCCTGTTTTGATGAGCACTGCACGCCACTGAATTATGATGTAACATCATCGTTTTTCTAAAAAATAGTATATTACCTTTGATTTGAAGCATCCCATCGTTACTGTCACACTCAGAAGAAGAGGGTGCGCCACCGCATTCCGAACTGACTTCGGCAGTGGCGGCGTTAACTTCTTTCTTCACGAGTCCTTCGACTTTGGGCATGGTTACTTGGCTGGGCTGCGGTTTTTCTTCGGGAGTACTGGTAACAAGAGGCGCGGGTTTATTTTGTTGGGGTGTCGTTTTCGTCTAAAAAAATAATCAGAAATAATAAAACCTCTTTCACAACAAACACGTTTTGTGTTTTTTTATCTAACATGTTTTTTAAGCCTGCTAGCCATATATTACTAGGACATTACTCATATTCGATAAATAAAGAAAGCTATTAGTTTCCGAAATAACAATAAAAAACAGTAGACTACTTACTGGTGACTGCTGAGGAGAAGTGCTGGGACCAGTGGGTATCTTGGCTAGGTTGCCAAAATAGGCAGAATTTAAGAGTTGATCAGAGCCACACAAGCCTCTGATTTGGAGGGCTTCTGCCGATTTTAACAAAGAAGGAAGATCATCTTGAGTCACATTCACTTCTCCCTTATACATAAAGTCCACCAACGACTGCATCTCTTGAAATCTATAACAGAAATAAATAGTATCTAATAATGTACAATTAATGTAAGCCAAGAAAAAAATAATCTATAAATACAGCATATAGGTTCACTACTGCGCATTACATCTGTACAGGGTCTCCCATTTTCGTATTTTATGGGATTTCTCGTTCATGAGTAAAGATACAACGATGCGATTTTCACATTCCTTTGCTACTTTCTTACAAAACTAAATATGCTACACGTAGGTTTGTCCTAGCCTCCCTAGTTCCTGAAATACAGAGCGAATTTGCGATGCGCAGTAGTGAACAGATGTTGAATACAGATATGATGCGCAGTACTGAACGCAACGTCTACCGGCAGACAGACGGTCCGCGCTCTGTTCAGGAGAGCATAGCAAAAGATATATTCAAGAACCAGCTTTCTTAAAATTCTCTCTCGAAAACGTTGCTAGCTCTTAGACTATAAGTAAAACAGCAAAATCGTTATGGAAATGAAAATATAAAATGACAACAATCACAAGCAAATCGTATATCCGATGAACGGAGGCATGAAAATGCAATAAATTTAAAAACAGCATAATTTTCTAACCAATAGTCTTTAAATTCAACCAATAAAATTAATATCGTATCATCGTATTGTCGGACGACGGATGCATGAAAATCAAGCTTTTCAATCATTTACACGGAACTCTGCCTACCTCCTTAGATATTTGCTTATCTTATGTTTATATCAAGTCGGATTCTGGGCTCCATTGCAGCATCGTTTGTAAAAACTATAAAGACTGGTGCGTCTATCACCTATCATATTGTCATATTTTCGTGTGTTTTACAGGGTTCCTTGTTTACGAGTAGAGCAACATCACTGAGGGGAGTCAAAAAATGAAACAATTTCTTCAAATTCGCGCTGTATTTCAGGAACTAAAAGGGCTAGAACAAATCTGTGTGTAGCATCTTTAGTTCCATAAAAAATGGCATAGCAATGAAAGCCGCATCTTTGTAGCTCTACTCATAAACGAGAAATCCCGCACAACACACAAAAATGGGACACCCTGTACAAATACAGGCGTGATAAGAGAATGGATGCATTGTCGACTGGCCGTCTCATAAATAGGCTGTGATATAACTATTATTGATAAAGCCAATTTCGAGCGAACCGTTAGTTACGGTTGACAGATAGGTAAACAATGCTCTAAACGTCAGTTGTCAACCAATCGGTAGTTAGCAACGTTTCGTTATGTTTAGCTTACTTCATGTCCTTCATAAAAATAATGGGGTGCTGACAGGGATTGTCCAGAAGCAGTTTCTCGAAGTAGGTGGAGCAGGCCGACAGGACCACCTTGTGACACTTCAACATTTCATTTTCGCAGGCTAGGGTGACGTCGACGAAGTGTTCTGACGTCAGAAGTTTGGGGAAGGCGCTTTGTAGGTTCTGTTGGTAGCTGTTCCATCTAAACAACATAAAAGAGCTTAATAATTCTGTTTGAATAATATTAACAAACTTTTTTAGTAATTTTAAAGAACAATTCACCAAACTTACAACTTATGTATGGTACCATAACTTTTTTAGATAAAAAATCGAGATTTCGTCGGTGAAATGTGATAAACTGCTTAGTCATAATTTTCGCGGAGAGAAAAGAAACGGTACAAAAAAATATGTACACATGTGGCAAATACCGTATGATCAAATAAAAACGGCGTCAGCGATGGCTATGAAATGAAGATCGCTGTCATCTATACTAATATATAAAATCCTTAAGTGACTGACATACTGATTAATCACGATCCTGCTCAAACCACTCAACGTAAGAAGCTCTATTTTGGCATACAGGTTGATTCTAGGGTGTAGAGGTTTGATAAGAAAGGATTTTTCGAAACTCGAATTCTAAGGGGGTGAAACTATCCCTCAAATAGTAAAATATTTTTTTATTTAAAAACCGGTGAGTTTTTCGGAAAAACTCTTAAACACGTATATTTTATTTTGTTGTTTTACATATTTTAAGATTTTTTATAAATTTATACAGTGTGTTTCATAAAATATGACCATTCACGATTCTGCTTAAACTGCTTGACGTTTAAAGCTGACTTTTTTGCAAACGGATTGACTGTGGGGTGTAGAGGTTCGAAAAGCAGGGCTTTCTCGAATCTCAAATTCCAAGAGGGTGAAAACGCCCCTCGAATATTACAATATTTGTTATTTAAAAAACGGTTAGTCTTTCGGGAAAACGCTTGGACAAGCATAATTTATTTGGTTTTTTTATATATTTTGAAATTTTTTAAAAAATCATACAGGGTGTTCCAAAAGTTGGGTTCTAAAAAATTTTTTAACCACGATTCTGCTTAAACTGCTTGACGTAAAAAGCTTATTTTTGGCAAACGGATTTTTCGAAATTCAAATTTCAACGAGATGAAACTACCCCTCAAATATTAACAAGTTATATAATATCGCCATATTGTTTTTTCTCATGCTGACATAAATGTGAGAAAATTTTATCCAATTTGTATGTTAATGGAAATTCTTGCTTTGCTTTATCATCACCATTACAAATGATTAATTCGACGCGAACGAAGTCGCTGGTACACGCTAGTTTTATATGTAAAATTATATGGGAAATGTGGCATAGATCGTAATTTCCAAGCCAACTGGACGCCATTTTTTTTCGACCATACGGTATATTCATGCGTTAATATGATATAGAGATAACAATAATCTTTGTTGGGGAACAATAAAACTTGATATTTCGTTTACGTAAAAATCATGTATTAAACGTATTATTTACTTAAAATCAAAAACGGAGTTTGTAAGCGGGTTATCACGTTTCACTGACGATTTAGTATGTTAGCATATCACATAAATTAAGATTGATTGACGCATTCAATTCTTTTCGGCCATTTCCTGTTTCATCGGAAATGACTACAACTTTTGATTTTTAGATGACATTCTCGGTAGGTATTTTGTTACTTTATACGATAAAAAATGACACTCTATATCTCTGAATGACAAATCATATGTCAACTTTTGACATTTTCGAATATGGTTTATTTGAAAATGCAACATGCGGTTCATAACGACAATTTGACTCGAAATATTTGTATATTGAAAAAATTATTTGTAAAAAATGCTTTTTCCATATGCTAATGAGCCACTCTTGTTCCACTAAAAATAGGATTTAGGCATATTCTAACCAGGTAGAACAAGACCCAACAAATCATTAGACGATCAACTCTATTTTTCCAAGGATCCTTGATTAAAAATTAGTGTTTTTAACTTTTTAACACAGCTATGGTACTCTAGATTAAAATTAAAAATACGATTTTTTAAGCGAAAATGTCAAAAGTTGACATATGACATGTCATTCAATTCAGAGTGTTAATTTTCTATCAAATAAAGTAAAAAAATACAGAGAGTGCCATTTAAAAATCAAAAGGTGTAGTCATTTTCGGTGAAACAGGAAACTTCGTGACCAAAAACAATTTAATACGTCTAATGTTGGTAGCGAATATTTCCATTCGAATTTTGCAGGAAATTTCAGAAATTTCCGAAATATTCGGTCCCAAAATCGCAAATATTCGCAAAAATCCGAATTTTGCCAGAAATTTGGTTTACTAAAAATTTAACGAAAGTATGCCTATTCTAAAAGCAGCAGAAAAAGAATGCTTCTCCGCCGTACAAAATAGAAAAGGTCTTAAACCAATGCATTTTGCCGCGAATTTCTTGGACCCCTGTTCCCTGGGAGAGACAATGAAGAACACATGGCTTATGGAATTTATCAACATATCAACAATATCACCAACAAACATCCTCAGTTTGTCAATAATAAAGAAGCCATTTTTACATATGTAACAAATTATTGTGTCAAATCTTAAGTCGTAATCGTAAGTGTATAGAAATACTCAGTTGAAATATTTAGCTGTTGCTCTGCTGTCTTTACCAACGTCATCTGCAGCCACTGAGAGAAGTTTCAGTACTTACAGTTTTATCCATACTAAAAAAAGGAATCGCTTAACTGCACAAAGAGCCGGCAAAATAATGTTCTTAGCTCATAACAATAAATTATTACTACACAAACAAAAAGTGGATATGAAGCATGATATTCAACATAAAACTCCTCCACAACCACTAGAACCCGTAGAGGTAGAGGTCCATCCTTCAGAATCAGAACCAGATGATACATCAAATATATCTGATTTGGAAATAGAAACTGACGAAGACAGTACTACTACTACTATAATACCCCATGAAGATGGGACCAGCTCGGCGCCTGACAGTATTCCTGAATAGAATATTCAGTTATTTGTGTTTTACGTTTTTTAAATTTATATTTCGTGCTTTTTTGTTTTTTTTAAAGTTCATAGTCATAGTTCATGGTATGTTATGTACAAAGTAAATGATTTTTGTTATGTGTTATGTTTATGACTTTTATGAGTTATGTATTGTTTATTAAAAGTATAACAACTAATATTATGTTTATTGTTTTTTTTTTCACTTACATGTTGGTATCAAATGTCTATCTAATTTATTCCTTTATTGTATCAACAAAAAATATGTAAAATTGTATAATTTCCTAAAATTTCATAAATTTCTGAAAGTTTCGGAAATTTCCTGCAACAATCACAAATTTCCGAAATATTAACATCACTAAATAAGTCAGTCAATCCTCATTTACGTCCCCCCCCCCATATACTAACATACCAAATATATCTGAAACAAAATTAAAAAAGTTATAGGGGTGAGCCACTTTTTAGAAACACCCGGTATAAACACGACGATGGTTACCAAAGTGAACCATTAAACTTAATTATGTACTACAATTTTAACGCAATAAATAACTTAAAAACGTGGACACTGGTTTGCTTGTTTTCTAATTTTATGCTATTTTTTGAAGGAATAACAAATATACCCTGAAAACATATTATATTCAGAAAACTGTTTGCTTGAAGGGTTTATTCAAAGTTTAAAGATGTTGTATAAAAATAAAGGTAAAAATTTAGATAAATAATAAGATATGTTTCTTTTTTTCTAAAACCCTGTATGCCTTATTATCTTATTATTTAATCATACACACACCCAGTGTTATAAATGAATTATTTTCCAATAAAATAAAATAAAAACACTTGTCCTTACCTTACACAAAACTGCTGAGGTGGTGGAGTAACCATCTTCAATGCCTTCTAGATCACTTCTGTGATAGATATGATAAACACATAGAAGAAGAACTAAATAATACTGGTACGACTTATTACTATGCCAAATCTGAAATAATAAAAATATTTAAAAAAAAAAGTTAACGTTCCCTTTCGGAGCCAACAACTAAAATGAACATTTTCGGCTGATATTCGGCCCATCTCAGGCCAAAATGCAGCAATAAACAGAACGAAATATCATATTATTGTTAAGAAGGGCTAACTAAAAGGACCCTTTCTCAACAGGCTCCATATACACTCACACTTTTTGTGTATCAGGTAATAAATTTTCTGGGTTTAGAATTTCGTAAATGTTAAGTTGGCTAGAAAAAGGGCAGATAAATAAATATTAAATGCAGTTTTAAATTCTGAAAACAACTCCCAAACACGTGGAAAAGTAATTTTATAACATTTATTCACGGGTATTTTCTTCTATTTTTCACAACGTGAGTTACTGATGTAGTTAAATTTTTGAATGCGTCAATCATATAGCACGCAGTAAACTTATCCAAAAATTCGAAAAGGATAAAGTGTTTTAATTTCTATAAGATCGAAAAAAAAACAGTGTCACAGTAACCTCTTAAGAAACATTTTTTTTCAAATAAAAAATGGTTGAATTTTATTTAGTTTAATGGTACGGAAAGGGCGATAATATTTATCGTTAAATGTAATACTTTAACAGCACACATTTTACGTTAATCAAAATTAATAATAACCCTCTATCAAAGAAGGAAATTATATTACCAGAGCCTTTTGAATTTTAGGACTTTCACAGAAATTCAACCATATTTTCATGTTTTTGTTAATTTTCTCTAAAACGGTATGAAAATTTGGAAAAGTATAAACGGGATTAACCGTTTTAGAACAAGCAATGTTATGAAGAATGCATTTTTTTCAAAATGTCAATAATAAAAAAGTTTTTCTTCAAGACAATCCGGGGACATACTGTAGACATTTTAAAATGTTCAAATTTCATATTCAATACATTCAAGACCACAAGACAGACTTTTTATTTATACCTAGGTAAATTTAAATAAAACCTAACCAATAATCTGTTTTTTGTATAATTTTTATATCTACATTTTTTCTATTGAACACCCAAAACCATTCAAAAAAATATAAAAAAACTTGCAAAGTTGTATTACATAAATACCTACTAAATTAAAACCAATAAAATTTCGCATAACTGTTGTGTATATTTAACGCAAATATGAGCACTGACGTACTTGAATTTTTAAATAAAACAAAATATTTTAAAAATAAAACGTACAAAAGATATTTGCCAAAAAATCAGCGCTAACTAGCACAAATAACCATTTATTTGTTGCGTTTTTCGATACAACATTTTTGAATTATAGATAATTTAAATACGATTTGTATCTATATTAAAATTCTTAAATTATTTAGATGTGTTTTCTGTCAAATATCAAGCTCATTTTTATTAAAATTTGTCTTTTAACTAAATATAATTATTCTGTCATTAAAATACCTACATCAGAAATTTAAAAATATAGTTTGATATTTCGTGCCTACATCAACATATTGCAACAAAAATATGACCGTGAATCACAGCCTTATTAGAGACGCGATACTCTATTTTAAATCAACAAATTTATTGCCAAAATCAATAACAAACCCTTAGGCAGTGCATCGTGTCTTAACATTAGTTCGCCCAACCCCATAGCAACAAAAATTGGAAAATTACAACGCAAAATCTGCAAGCGGAAAATCAATAAAAAATTAAGAGAGGAAAAAATGTGTTTTTATTACAATAAATTAAACCCTACATGCAAGATGTAGAGAAAAACTCGACTCGGCATGCGAGCCGATCCTACCCTCTCTCTCTAAACCCCCGTAAAAGAAAGAGAGGTCGGATCGCGTGCACCATGCACAAAGATTTCATCAAAACATCTGAAGACCGGCAAAAGAAAAAAATCTTCAAAACATAACCTCCACCAGAAAATCCTTACCGTTTTCTGTGTTTTCACACGTTTTTCACACCTTAAAACATATTTTTTCAGGGCTGACGCGACCGCGAGAGTACATTTAAAAATAACAATTGATATAATTAGCCTATCGAGAGTGTCGCTTTTAAACAAATACCGACGAAAGTGAAAATTATTTAAAATCGTCGTCACTTTCAATGACTAACTAGCCGAGTATTGAATTACAGTTAAAAATAACGAATTATTAAATAAACATTATATAAAAAGCAGCGTACGCCATATTGGTTAACCCTTAAATAATGGCATTGAAAAAATGTTCAACAAAAACAACACTTGGGCTTTGTTTATGTAAACTTATCAATGAAAATTAACACAAAACGTGTTACTTACTTTACACTTCACTTAAACACCTATTTAACACTTGCACGGGGTGAGAAATACCCCCAAATGATCGATAAAAACTTTAATGCAAAAAGGTTCACTTAAATAATTATATTGCCAAGGCGAACCTAGCTAAGACTTAAGTTTGCGACAATAGGCCGCCTAAGAACACACGTTAGAAACACGTAAGAAGTCGGACGTAGGTCGTTGCTTTCGTCAAACAGCCGTAATATTTACTCACGGATTTCTAGGGGGTGTTCTTTCATGCCTTCCCAAATATAAACAAGGGCCTTTAAGTTCACATTTCTAACTGAAATGTTTAGAAGTACTTACCGAATTTCGTGTAAAACGTTCACACAACACTTAAAAAATCCGCAAAACACTATTTTTCTTCTTAAACTAAAAATGTTGCAACAATCTAAATATAATATTTATATATAGATCCCCGCCATTTGCAATTTGTGCCGGCTTGGTACAGTCGGAGGGATAAACATTTTCACGAATCGGCGAATAACAAAATCGAGTAAAAAGGCCGTTCGGAACAAACAAAGCAAGTTTCAGGGCCTCGCGCAAAATAAAACAAAACCAAATTAGGTAAAATAAAACAAAACAACCGGCCAAACCGTGAAATAAATGGTAAAAGCGAGTTTGAAAAACGTCCGTGTGTGGTTTGTTCAATCGATTTTATGCGGCGAACTGTACTGTAAACAAATGCATGTAAGGGCGGTAACTCAGAAAAAGATTAACATAAAGTAGGGTGGCTCGGAAACTACGTCATATGTTGAAAAAAATCAGCTGCACACGTTTTAAATTTTTTAATTAGGGGGAACGCGTACGATATGCTACTGGCAAGGCAATATCGTTGGACTAGTGAGAAATATAATTTTATATTATTAATGTTGTTAAAAGAGGAGGCTCGGGAATATATGGCAGGTTAAAAATAGATTTTTAATAATAAACATTCCTGGAGTTCCACGCTACAAGAGGTAGAAAAGTTAAAAATGTGACGAGATTTAGATTTCCATTTTAGTTTATGGCTTAAAAATTTCGAGCATGCATTAAATTAAAATTCTAAAAATAAATTATTGTATTGCGTGCGATTGCTGAACATCACAACGTACTTTTTTTCGTTCAATATATAATAAATAAAAATAAAATAGGTATAAGATTAAAATCTATTGATTGGCAATACAATACATTTTTTATTTATATTTTCAAAGGGGGTAAAAAGCAGAAAATCTACCTATTAAAAATTATAGCATAAGAGTGACACTATAATCATGCATAAAAATATTTTTATTGTATTTTAATTTTATATATCCTAAAAATATAATATACCGGGTGCGTCTCGAAAGTGGCTTATCCCTAATACCTTTTTTTGTTTTTTCAGATAAAAAAAAATAGATTTGGTATGTTAGTAGAAGAAGTAGTTAGTATATGACATAAATTAGGATTGATTGACGTATTCAATTGTTTTTCGTCACTTCCTATTTCACCGGATATTACTACAACTTTTTACTTTTAAATAGCACCCTTGGTACATTTTTACTTTATTCGATAGAAAACTCGTTATATTATTCGAATAGAATGACATATATCTGTACCGTATCGATGACATTTCCCATATAAATTTACATATAAAATGACAGCGATCTTCATTTCATAGCCATCGCTGACGCCGTTTTTATTCGATCATACGGTATATGTGAACTTTTGACATATTTTTACCAAGGATTTGATACCACACACTTGATATTTCGGGTCAAATTATCGTTAAGAACCACATGTTACAATTTCAAATAAACCATATTATGCAAAAATGTCAAAAGTTGACATATATGATATGTCATTCTATTCATAGTGTCTTTTTTTATTAAATAAAGTAAAAAAATACCGCGATTGTCATTTGTTATTTCCGGTGAAACAGGACGTGACCAAAACAATTGAACACGTCAATCAATACTAATTTATGTCATAAATGTCATATAACCAATGACTAAAGAATCCAAGGACAAATAACACCCGAGAGAAGATTGTGACGATGCCACCAAACAGTGCCGTAGCACATATTTTTCTTAACCTAGCTGTTTGAAGCAATATTTATATTTTTCGATAATTGTTTTGACTACGCCTATGGTGTATCATCTTAATTAATTACGAAAAAAACGTATTAAAATGTTAACAAAAGGTACAAAACTAGTATCGACGTATAGCACATATCAAGTACATACCTATAGATGTTAATTGAAATTGAAGAATAATTATCGAATTCAATAAGAAAACGCTAAAAAGTTGGAGTGGACTCTTTATTAACCTATGAAACGTAACTCCTGGCTCTTTCTTATCGCTGCTGCTTTTACACTTGAAAGCTGAACAACTAATCACCATTGTAATAAAGTTTATACAAAGTTTACCTACTACACACAAACTATTAAAAATAGCTAAAAATGTCACTGGTGACCAAATGATGACTCATTGTTTGCCACCAAAAGAAAGGTCTCTAAGGTCACAAATTCTGCTGCAGCCCGTATAGGGGCGTTACATGTTCTTATATTCTTTAGTCATTGCATATAACTAATAACATACCAAATATATTTTTTTATCTGAAAAAATAAAAAAGTTATAGTTATATATACTTTTGAGACGCACCCGGTAGAAATACAATGGCGTCAGGGAATAGCGTCAACGAAAAAAAATGGCGTCAGGGATGATTATGGGGGATGACTTTGAAATGAAGACCGCTATCTTTTATATGGGGAATGGCATCGATCATCGATCGTCATTTTCAAGCCAAGTAGACGCATTTTTTACTAGTAGTGGGAACTATCGAATGAATACTATCGAAACATTCGATAGTTGCAATTCATTCGAATAAGTCGATAGCTAGTAAGAAAACATTCGTCGAAAACTATTCGAACAAAAATTATCGAATAGATGCGTCATATGCCTTGAAATATTGTATTCTAGTAATTCGGCAGCAAAAACCATTCATTTATAAAATTCATTCATTTATCAAATTCATTTATTCGTCAGGATACTTAAATATGATTATTAAGTTCAACTAATTCATATTATTAAAACATCCAAAATACAAATATGTATTTTTAAAATTAATTGTAAGTTCATCTCATCTCTCTTAAAAATTGTTACTTCTCAAAATTTCCCATTAAAAAAATGCAATCTAACCTAACCATAATATACCATATAAAATTAAATAATTGAAAGATCGGGCTACGGAAAATCACACAAATTTTCGGAAAAATTTTGACCACTTCGCACACAATCGTCAATTAAAAAAACCTACTATTTTAGTATTTTAAATATTTTAATAAACGTAAAAATAGCATAGTATTTACAAGGCGAAGTTATAAAAATTTGGAAGAACTAATAATGCACTGACGCACACAAAAATCAAACGAATACTAAATTTCATTTATCAAAAACATTCGATAGTCGTGGCTCGTGGCGCAACGATAACCATTTAGTCGCACGGCGAGGTTGTCACTTATGCTTTAGTGTACGAATGAATGAATGATTTTATTCGAATAAAACCATTCGATAGTTGAAATCATTCATTCAGTAACCATTCGATAGTCTAATTCATTCGATAGTTCCCATCGCTATTTTTTACTATCATACCGTACCTAATAATCATACTATCACAGATAACACTATGTGTTATCTGTGATACTATTAATAATACCGTTATGATCGAAAAAAAACCGTTCAGTTGGCTTGGAAATGAACATTGAACATCAGTTGCATTTCCCATATAAAATGGCAGCAATCTTAAATTTATTTCATAAACATCGCTGACGCTGTTTCTTTTTCGATCATATTGTACTTTGAAGTACCGTATGATCGAAAAAAAAACGGCATCCAGTTGGCTTGGATATGACAATCAATGACATTCCCTATATATTTTTACATATAAAATGACAGCGATCTTCATTTTATAGCCATCGCTGACGCCGTTTTTTATCATATTCTACTGTATGATCGAAAAAAAAGGCGTCCGGTTGGCTGGGAAATGACGATCGATGATATTTCCCATATAAAATGACAGCGATATTCGTTTCATAGCCATCGCTGACGCCATCTTTTTTCGATCATACGGTATTATTTATATCGGTAACACTCAAGAACAGTTGGGTAATACTGTAACAATAACACTGTAACAATATATGTATATAAAAATAAATAGGTATAATAACAAATAATGAATAAAACACTCAAAATAATCCTTCGCCATATTATCAACAACTTTAGAAGCATAAATAATTATGCTATACAGGGTGGCGCATCGGTGTTGAACACAGGAAATCCAATGCAAATTTCGAAATGTCCAAATATTGGCTCCCCTGTTGATGCTACAGCGAAGTCCTAAATAGGTTTATTAAAGGTCTGCGTACGCTGAATACTGATATCAAATGTGAACAATTTTGGACAAGCCGTTTTTAATAAATTTAAGAAAAACAGCATTTATATTTAAATTTAAACTGAACAGGTAACAAAGCAAAACCAGGCAAATGTCGACACACCTGAAGTTGTCAATCTATGATTGAATAATGCAATTTATTGTGCTGTCTACGCTACTACCTATTTACAGTTAGTGTACCAGATTTACATTTTTGTAATTTAAAACTTGTTCAAATTAGACAAAAGCCTAAGGTTTTAGGAAAAATAATTTGACATTGACAAAATTATAAGTTGACAACTTAAGGTATGTTGACATTGACATGGTTTTACATTGTTACCTGTTCAGTTTTAATTTAAAAATAGATGAAGTTTTTCTTAAATTTGTTAAGAACAGCCTATGTAAAATTGACCAAATTTGGCATATATTTTAGCCATACCATTTTAAGAAATCTATTTACCACTTGGCTGTAAAATCAATAGAGGAGGCAATATTTGGACAGTTCAAAATTTGCATGGGATTTCCCATGTTTCAAACGCCGATGCACCACCCGGTATATAATAACCGTACATTCGTTGTCTTCACGCATAAATAAAATTCGGATTAGGTTCTTATTTTATTGTATACACGTAAGAAACAGAAAGAATTATTTTTAAAGAGATTTTATAAAGATAAGTTGTTAAACTGATTCTAGTTTACTTTTAAAGTAGAAATTAACTTAAACCAAATTAATTTATTACAAAAATATTTACAACTTTTTAAGATCTTAGAATGTATTTAAAAAAGGAGGTAATCCTGGTGCATTCAAAAAAAGTACATAAATTATAATCAGAGTATATTATGTATATATTTGAGATTAATTACAACCAAATACTAGATACAAAATCCTCTTACAATGTTGTATTTCTTCCTAAAAACAAAAAAAATGCATTAAAAAAATTGTGTGTATACTATGTGCGCATATTAGAAGTGAAATTTCTAAAAAAAGTGTAGTTTGAAATGTTGAGAAAATAATAATTTAAAAATTAATAAATAATTTGTGTCGCGTGTCGTGTCACGGCCTTGAATTTTTACTCCCATCGCGCGTAAAGAAGTTTCACTTCAAAAACAATGAGAAAAATATTTTGCCTTACCAAACATTCCTCTTTTGTGCCACAATTTGCAACATATTTCTGCAAAACTTCCTGTAAGTTGTGTCTAGGATTTCTACACTCACTTAAAGCAGTTGCATTTTCTTCAACTAAAGCTGCTAATAATGCCAAGACATATTCATGACTGGGTTGCCTCTCTCTAGATATTAAAGTAATTAATGTTGGGATGTAATCGAGAAATACAAGTCTACCTAAAAAATTAAAATATGTTTCATATATTACAGGTTTTTTTCTATTAAATTATTGATATATACTTTTAAAATCTGGCTGTGAATCACATAGGGTGCTTAATAGAAAGGTGGTTTTTTTAATGAATCTGTCATCTGTCCTATTCAAAGCTTTTAGAAGAATAACAGGTCCGTTATAGTGGATAAACTGATTAAAACCTTCCTGACTATGTCTAATAATCGCTAGAAACAAAAAAAGAAACAAAAAAAACATGAAATTGTAACAATTATTCACAATCTTATTACTTACCACTGACAGCATATAATGCTTTAACAGCAACTTCTGTATCTTCATCCTTATCTATCATGTTTAATAATTTAGGGACAAATTCATTGTCTAAGACTACTTCCTGGCAATAGGGATTATTTTGACAAAGTTCTGCCAACAGTTCACAACCAGCTGCTCTAATTTTTGGATGGGGAGATTTTAGACATGGATAGAGCACCATAAACCCACCAATTTTATGGAAATCTATAATTGCCTAATAATATATGCCAAATACGAAAATAGAGCTGTATCTACATTACCACATGCTATGTCAATGTGATCCACCTGTTCCAAAATAATATCTACTGCTTGTTCATACTCAGATATATCATCTTCAGGTTTGATACTATCAACTTTTTGAAGAACTTTTATTTGTTTTTGTAGAAGTCCTATTATATCGACTGACATGGATTTTATCGCTTCCTCTAACCATTTCCGCCTCTAAAGTAATTAAACAATTAATATAGGCTCAAGTATTTAATACTACACTTAAAGACAACTTTCTACTCTTTTATCAGATACATACTTCTTCATCCAAAGGTAAAACATGAGATTCTGCTGGAGCATCTTCAGATTGTGTAGCTTCCACACAAAACCTTAATAAACCTTGTAGATTAGTCGAGTGTCTAGGTTGTGGACGCACGCGTTGGGACTCCCCTGACACAATAATAATAAAAATCTATATAAAATATCATCTTAATGTGAAATAAAAAATAAAATATATACCTGAGGGTTCTGGAGGGGCGCAAATAGCCCCAGCTATTTCAACTTTCTTTTCTTCAATACCAGGCATTTTTAAATTCTAAATTCAAAGCACAATCGCAGAAAATTATTTATTTTACTTTTTTTACTTTCCAAGTACCAGAAATTTCAAAACATGTTTGTTGACATGCCACTGTCAAGATTTTTATATTGGAGGTTAAACAGTTTCTGGAATTATCTAGAATCTAGATATCATTTATTTGAAATTCTGGAATTTCCGTTTTATAATTATGAATATCTGATACCATCTGTAATTTTAGTTTCAGTCTCCGGTATTACCCAGTCTCCACATTTTAGATTTCAAATTTTAAATAAAGATCTGTTGATGTTCCAGTAGTTCAAAAAGATATATCATATATAAATTATGAATTATGATCAGTAGGCCTTAGCTATATTGTTTTTATATATGTTTAATTTTGTTCATATATGTTTCTAAATATGTTTATGTATTTGGTTTATGTATACTATTTTGACCATTGATTTTCACAATACAAATCGACTTAAAATGAAGTACAAAGAGAAAATCTCGGGAGTTAAATTATTACAATCTATTGACAAATTTGTCACGTATTTTAAAAATTAGTTTAATAATCGTGGTTTAATCCATAGATAGACTATAGGTTCGTTCCAACCTGCAATAATATTACGGTAATATTATCGTTAGTAATTGCGTTAATGCGCCTGCGCGAGCGAAACCGGTTAAGTTACTAGGATGAACTTATAAACTGGTTGGAACGTTTTTAGAACTGGGAATACTGGGATGGAAAGTAAACAGCTGGGCTGGCAACACAATAACTCCCTGTGAGTAATCGAACATTTTTCGTTTTCCTTATTTATTTGAAAATGACGTTTCAATCTCCTATGCCCAGCAGGGAGTTCTTGTGGGACGTTTTCCAGAGGCAAGTATTTTAAAGCCCTGTTTTATTAAGAATGTTTATAAAATCGTTTTTAACTTAGGGTCGATCGGGACAGGAGTGGATTCATCAGTGCTGATGAGCTTCAACAAGCTCTGTCTAATGGGACATGGAGCCCTTTTAATCCAGAAACAGTCAGATTAATGATAGGTATGTTCATACAGAATAACAAAAAAAAATATATCTTAGTTTTCTTTGGTTAATATTCTTATCAGAAAACCTGTATGCACAATGATATAATGTCCAACAAGTTGGGCAATGATATTATTGCAATAGAAAGTACATAATTTGGATAAAAACCTACGAGTTTTCTTTCAAAATTTTAAGATATATATTTTTGACAGGTATGTTTGATCGTCACAACAAAGGCCAAATTAGTTTTGAAGACTTTGGAGCTCTGTGGAAATATGTAACAGACTGGCAGAATTGTTTTAAATCGTTCGATAGAGATAATTCAGGAAATATTGATAAAGATGAACTGAAAATAGCTTTAACATCGTTTGGGTATAGACTTTCTGACAATTTAGTAAGTACAATGGTTAGAAAATTCGATAGGCATGGAAATGGAACAATACTCTTTGACGATTTCATACAGGCTTGCATTGTACTTTATGTAAGAAGTTTTATTTTTTAGCAACTTTTGCAGGAAAATAATTTTATGTTTTTTAGACTCTCACTTCAGCTTTCAGACAATACGATACAGATCAAGATGGCTATATAACAATCCACTATGAACAATTTTTGAGTATGGTATTTGGCTTAAAAATTTAAGATACATTCTACAACATGGTTCTTCCAAATTTTATATTCTATTTATAAGATAATCTTTTATATTTATGTACGTGATATCTTGGCTATATTCTGACCAGATGTGACTAAGTATTTTGTCAATTGCACTACACAAATATCTTTATGTCACAGATAAAACAATATTAAGGTATTTTACTGGAAACATAACTTAAGCAGGCCATTTAAAGACTTAATTAGATCTCAGGGATATAATCATGCCTATTTTTTATAATATTTATAGTCTACTAAATTTATTAACTGCAAAGAGTTAATATAGATTTGCATAATTCAGCATTTTTGTAGTTAACTTCTTAATTCAATTAAGCATTAATTTAAGCAGTTAACATGAATTGTTTGTACATTATTGGCGCAGAGATAATATATAAACCTTACTGTTGTGCAATCATTTTAATTATGTGCCACTAAAAAAACGTAAAATAATAGAATTATAATCCCGAATATTGTTTTATGTGTGTGTGTGTGTATTCTATACAGGATATCTTTTAAATAAGTGCATAATTTTTAACTGGTAGTACAATAAAATATATTTTTTTTGACGAAACAACATTACAAAAATTAATTAATTTAAATTAAGCTTCATTCAGAACCTCGCAATTAATGGAATAAATTAGTGGTTTCAATTAGCGTAGAAGTTTGTTCCTCTTATTTCAATGTAAGCATTCAGAACGTCAAAATTAGTGGTAGTAATTTTCAATTAGTAGAAAAAGTTAACAAACTTTTTACTTTTCCACTTATTATAATTTACGAGGAATTATCATCCGTCAAGAGAAATTGTGGTTAGAAATCAAAAGTTGATTGTTTTATAAGCTAATTATTAGGCTTTCTATATGAATACAACTGACTACCGCAAGCTGTGTACCTACCGTGTGCTTTTAAATGTGTTTTTTAGACATTGTAAACTAAAAAATATAAAGTGTAATTGAAACCACTAATTTATCCCACTAATTTCGAGATTCTGAATGAACCTTTAGTTAAATTAGATTAATTTATACAGTTAATTTTAGAAAAAAATCAAAGTCAGATAACTCAGTCGTTTCTAATTGATTTTAATAGCCAATAGAATATGTTTCTCTCAAACAGTTCTACCACCTTATTAAAATACTTGCACGTATTTAAGAGACACCCTGTTATAGTATTGTTTTCTAAGTCATATTTTTAATATCTTAGATATTTAAAAGAGTCTATTCTATTTATGTATATGTTGAAGGAATAACAATAATTGTTTTGTAATAACGAATCTGCCAAATTCAGTATAAAGCAGACTTAGTTATATAGTTTTTTGTAGTTTTTTTAATATTAAATATTTATATGTATCAGCTGTACATTTACATTTTTTAAGAATACACTTATTTTCATACAAATTATATATTTGAATAAATGTTTAAAATGTTAGTACATTTATTAATTAATAAAATCTGGTGTTTTATTAATTTATTTTATGTTTAAACTTATTGATTGTTGTTGAAAGTTCAATTCACATGTAATTACAGCGCTTTCACGTGGAGCGAACCGTCCGCGACTTCGAGCAAGTACCATGAGTTTATATGAACAATTTCACATAGGTCGCGTATGCTCCGTTCAGATGATTCGTTCGACGGCTGTCTTGAAAAAAACACGACGGACGGTCCGCTCCATCTGAAAGCGTTGTTAAATTTACTACTATTTACTTGTTTAAGCAGGCATCAACAAATTCTGATGTCACTTATGAGTATTTAACGGGATATGCAACCGAGGGCGTGACTAATTATATAGACTTGGTGCATTTCCCGCCGGTGCTGCGACCATCGGAGGATATCGTAAACAACTGATATACTAAGGGTCGGCATTTTTGGTCTTGGGTGCCGGTTTTCATGTGTACGAAGAGTAAGGTCAACAAGCTTAGTAAAATAAGATGTACTGAATAGACAGAAGGCGAGTATTTTCCCAAGCGCGTGGAATTTAGCGTCAGATTAAGTAGTTATGTAATAAATACTTCGTATTTTTGCTCACTCCGACTTACTAAATTGCCATAACGACTCACTCCTATACATGTAAACGCCGACCCAAAGGTTAGCTTGCCAGCGGGCTATAAAAATACACGGGTTTAAATTGCGAGTATACGAAAAATTTATTATATAATTATTCTAAAAGTGTGTTAGGAAGTATAATTTTTGAAAATTTTAAATATAAAAAAGTAAATATTTTGATATTTTCAGAAGGTCTAACTTGTATTATAATTTATTATTCCAGCAAAAAAAAACTTTTTAGATGAGTTCAACTAAGGTAGCGAGCATAGTTTTACGCACCGGTTTTGCTAGTGGGGTCATAATGGGGCTATTTAACGAAATTTTTTAAAGGTTCATAATTATAATTTTAGAAGATGTTCATAAAACATTTAATCACTAGTTGATTAAAAAAAGTATGCTATTAATATTGCAAATTATATTTTATCCTCTCATAGTATATGTCTATTTAATTTTTTGATTATGTAACGAGCACTTTGTTTACCCACTTGTTTCGTCGAACTGCTTGAATCCATTTTTGCTTTTGATCAAAACGGTGTGAGAAACTATGAAGCTATAAAATGTTGTTTCGGGAGAGTTGAATATCCGGGAAAGTTGGGTTATTGAGTGATATTGCACCCAACAACGCCCTATTTACGTTCTCCTTTACGCGTTAATATTTTTTCGGCAATTTTATTAACATTTGAAATTATCACAACCACAACACGACTCCTAGTTAGGATTTTTTTACTCATTTTTTACTATCCGAAACAGCGTTACACTACACAAACCCCGTACCTGAGTGTTTTATAGTTTCAATAACTGCACTAGCAAAAGTCTAAAATATTTAAATATTATGACAAAGCCACGATTTAATTAGAATTAGAATGTTATCTTAATACGATCAACTCGAACTGCAACCGGGACGGGTATACAGCGCTGCTGTCGGAATTTCTTGAAATCAGTTGAAATGCACCAAGCCTATACCTAATTCGGCGTTGCCGTCATTTTACTGTGCTAAATTCAAGTTGATTTTTTCACTTTTTTGTTTCCACGTTTACAAAAAATTGGCGCCGGGAGGCACGTATAGCCGCCCATACTTGATATTTTTTTTATCTCAAAAACTGCGACTGATTTTGATGTTATTACAAATTTTGTTGCAAATATTATTCCTAATCTTAAATTGAAAACCGCGTTTCGCTAGCTACTGTAATTTTGCAGTTACGATTTTTTAAAATTTTTAACCCCCTCCCATACACCCTTACCAACCCCCCACCCCCACCAAAAACTAATGGCCAGATTCTCAGGTGCCACAGTATTTTTGTGCCAAATTTGGTTAAAATCGGTTTAGTGGTTTTTGAGTTATCGTGTTACACACGGACAGACAGACAGACGGACAGACAGACAGGTATGATCGGCTAAAAATAACTATTTATTTTATTTTGTAGAGTTTCATACAGTGGCGAAATGCCCATAGGACTTTTTTGAAGAGTTGAATCCGCCACAAAGGTATAGACATTTTTTAATAATAATATATCAAACTACCGGACTATTTTTAAATGAAACACATTCTGATAATAAATATTATATTTATCTCTTTCTAATTTTAAATTATTACAGTCTTTTATAAAGATATTCCCATTTCAACAAAAATATGTATCACCAAGACATTTTTGATTTTGTGATTGAACTGAAGAAGAAGCGACACAACTATTTGTCAGGCAGATACTGTTCCATGTTTTTCAGGTGGTTGTATAGACTGTCTTCGGGTGGTCCTAGTCCCAGTACTATCCACGCTGTGAAAGCCAAAAGCGCCCGCCATAATGATAAATGGTTCCACGTTTTCAGCTCTATGAAAGTGATCTGAAACAATTTCTTGTGTAGATAGAAGATACAGTATGTCCAATGAGAGAATATAATTTGTGCAAGGAGAGGAGCCATATATAGTGACAGTTATATGTCTCTTATTTTAATTCACAGGTAAATTGCAACTTCTGTAATTTTGAAGTGAAACTTCTTTACGCGCGTTAGTAGTAAAAATTCAAGGCCGTGACAATCTCGTACCTGGCAAATGGTAGCGAGACGGCCGTGACGCGCGAGCTGGCGAGAGGGAAAACGATAGCGGCAGTGTTGCCGCAGCTACCCCATTCGGGGTAGATCTACCCCTTTGTAAAAGAATTTAACCCCGTTATCTCGTGATAATCTACTCCGATGAAAAATAAGCTTGTGGCAATACTGGGTAGCGATCTGTGCCATGCGGCTAAGAAAATCACTATAATAAACTGGAAACTGTACCAACATTGATTTCGTGTATATTTTCATCGACAGATTTATAGCTTCTGAATAACGGTCTAGGTAAAGCATCTAGCTCATTTGCCAGCTCAGAATTAGAATTTAGAATACGAGTTAGTAACTCGCATTTTCAATGGAGGACACTGTCATATCTATTTCAAACCAATAATTAACGAGAATATTCGTATAATTTAATAAAATTACTGTAAATCACTATAAATAATGAATTGTTTGTAATTGAGCTGTAATTTCTGTATTATTAATCCGGTAAATGATGGAGATAAACAATTGTGATTGGTTAAAATTTTATTTTAAGATGAAACTTTGTTAATAACATTCTGAAAATTCGAATAATGAGTTGAATAATGATATAATGACAAGACTAGTGACATCTGTCTAAAAAAGACAGCGATTTAGAGTGACAGTTTGGTTATGTAAAATTTAGAGTGACAATTTTGATTATGCAAAAGAAATACTGGTTGCCTAACGATTAACATTAATTTAAAAATAAATCCCCAACATGAATAATGAACAAAACATATTATAAACAAAAAACAGACCACAGACTACGCAAAACAAAATGTTGGTTAGTAGCAGTTATAGTAGTAGTCAGAGATGTAGTAGTAGTTTGGTTTAATGGCCACAGCTATCTGGCAGGCTAAAAGAATTATCGTTTTTTAATAAAAATTAAAAAAAAAAAACATCATAAAATTATGAAGCTAGAATAGTATACAGTTTTATATTAACTCTAATTTTTTGGAAGTTTATTAAAAGCATTCATAAAAAATATATATCCTTCAATTTAATAGCTGTTAGGCTAAGGACATAGTGGAGCGACGAAGATAGCGGCAAGCAAGCAGCGCGATACCGCGTCGAGCAAGCCTCGAGGTGCTGAAACATAGTAGAGTGGCGATGAACAGCGAGATACTTGTGCAAATTTATTATTTTCGTTTGCTTATTGATAATTTAAAATGTTAACAGTGGCTAAAATTCTGGGCAGTAATGTCGTCAACATTTGGTCAGATAAAGTTTTCAAAAACCCGAGAAAGTATGGCAAGTTTTATAACCTTTACGGAAATTTGTTGGCTACTTCATCTCATAACTTATCTAAAATGTACCGGTTATGGTGATTACTATCTTTCTGATCCCATAAAATCTCTCTTAAAAATACTAAATCTATTAATTTTTGAGAATCTATCATTTTCTACAGCGCGACAGAGCGACGAAAACAAAATTATTTGATTCGATCTCGCCGTTCGATCTAACCGCTCGAGCAGATCGCTTTACTACAAGGCTTTACTATGTTCACACGTACTTGTCTTCACAGGTTTGTTTTGGACGCGATGTTGCGCTGTTTGCTCGTCGCTATCCTCGTCGCTTCACTATGTTCTTAGCCTTAGTGAAGTTTCACTTCAAATATGCGCACATAGTGCACACACAATTTTTTTATTGCATCTGTCGAAATCTTCGTTGACTCGTTGGATAAACTATACATGACAGTGATTCGACGTAATTCGATAGTGATGACAGTGATTCGGTGTAAATCGTATCAGAAACAGCGTCAAAGACGGCTGGGAATGACAATCGTTGATCATTTTAGCGAGGTCAGTCTCTTGATATCATTTACTAAAAATTGACATTACGTGTCAAAAATTAACACTAAATATAGAAAGGTTAAAAAAGGATAGAACGTTTCCAGACACACAAATCTATTTTCAAAAAATTATTTTTTGAAAATAGTTTCTTCAGGCCAATTGGCAGTAAGTGCCATTAAAAAATATAGAAGAGTACGAGCCAAATAAAGGTCATCTAGGGCTTGAACTGGCCAAAATTATCATCGATTGTCTTTCCCCAGCTGTCTTTGACGTTTTTTTTCGATCTTATGGTATTAATTAATAGTAATAGTACCTACCTGACTTTCTGGTACGTCTTCCTCTTCCACCAGCGCCGTGTGGTTCCCACCAACATTACCAATGATAGTGTGATTTCGATATGCCAGCAACGATAATTTCTCGTCGTAGGTAGCCGTGGATAAGTGCACAATCAGGCACGCCAAATACGCTATCAAGACGAAGGAACACTTCTTGTGTTTACAAAATTCGTTTATGTCGGTTGAGCTGATATGAGCAAGATCCATCCTGCAAAATAAATTACCATTTACATTATAAGTTGTACGTTAAATCAAAAAAAAAATAATGTTGATATAAATTTGTTCTTTATTAGTTTTGGCTCTTAATTTATAAATACCAAACCATTGTCTGAATCTGGCTTGTAGTTGTTAATTTAGGGACAAAGTAAGATATTGTTTATAAAAAACAAAATAATATGTAATAAACTGCGTCCGCATTGAAGATGTCACTGTGTCGCCGTCATGTACAGGGTATTTAGTGTATTTTACAGTGTTTATCCTTTATGAGTAGAGATACAAAGATGCGGTTTTCACATTTCGGTTACTTTGCTACTTTTTTATGAAACTAAAGATTCTACACACAAATTTGCCCTATGAATTTGAAAAATTTTCAGTAATTTTGCATCTTATACAGGGTGAGTCTTAAATAAGTGCAAATATTTTCAGGGGTGGTATATTTCGACCCCAAGAACACGTCTATGAGGTTTTTTTTTCAAAAAAAAATGTTGAAAATCGTGCGCTTTCTTTTAAATTTCCCTGTATATTTTTCGAAAACTTTTTAGAATTGCCTGTTCACCGCAAATTTTCCCACAGTATAATTTCTTAATCTCTGATATTACCATAGTTACACCTTTACTCTATGGTTATGGCACTAAAAGGGATGCAAATACAGAAAAAATCCGGTGGCTCTCTAATTTCTTTTTTATTTTCTAACTTAAATACCTCGGTTATTTTGGACTTATTTGAAAAATGGTAAAGAGAAAATATGTTTCTTTTATCGAGATCTACCAGCCCTGGAAATATTTGCACTTATTTAAGACTCACCCTGTATAACTTATCGAAAAAGTAGAAATAAAAGCTTCATTCAGAACCTCCCAATTAGTGGAATAAATTAGTGGTTTCAATTACACTTTATACTTTTTAGTTTACGATCATTCACAATGTCCAAAAAACACAATTAAAATTAATAAAATATTCTAGCAACAGCTTGCGGTGGTCCGTTGTATCCATAGAGTTTAAAACAATAAACTTTTGATTTATAACCAAAATTTTTCTTGACGGGTGATAATCAAAGACCAGAATGACGTTCCTCGCAAATTTTGAAGTATAATTAGTGGAAAAGTCAAAAGTTTGTTAACTTTTTCCAATAATTGAAAATTACTACCACTAATTATGACGTTCTGAACGCTTACATTAAAATTAAGCGAACAAACTTCTACGGCTAATTGAATAAAGCTTTTAGTTTCATTCAGAACCTCCCAATTAGTGGAATAAATTAGTGGTTTCAATTACACTTTATACTTTTTAGTTTACGATCATTCACAATGTCTAAAAAATACAATTAAAATTAATGAAATATCCTAGCAACAGCTTGCGGTAGTCTGTTGTATCCATAGAGAAAGCATAATATTTAGCTTATAAAACTTTTATAAAACAATAAACTTTTGATTTCTAACCAAAATTTTTCTTGACGTGTGATAATCAAAGTCCAAAATGACATTCCTCGCAAATTTTGAAGTATAATTAGTGGAAAAGTCAAAAGTTTGTTAACTTTTTCCACTAATTGAAAATTACTACCACTAATTATGACGTTCTGAATGCTTACATTAAAATTAGGTGAACAAACTTCTACGACTAATTGAAACTACTAATTTATTCCACTGATTTGGAGGTTCCAAATGAAGCTTTAGTCTCATAAAGTTTTTTACGTAGAATTCAGCGGCGTAACTAGATTTTTGCCGCGAGCTGTCATTCTATTGGCTATTTTGTGCTAGTTTCTGTGTATATTTAATTATTGCATTTATTGCTCAACTTCTAAAAGATGCACACGTTTATTTTTAGTGCAGTTTATTAAGATAACACGATGGAAAGCAAAATTATCTGGTTAAATTAAATTAAATAAAATGATACCATGACCCATTTGAACTATAGGTTTATTTATATTAGAAATTTAAAAAAAAATATCTTGAATATATTAACTTTTTAGAAAGCTCATGATAAGGCAAATAAAATTAAAAAAAATTGTGTATGCGCTATCTGCGCATATTTGAAGTGAAACTTCTTACTTCCGTCTGTCTGTCTGAATACTCCATTCGGGTACCTCTATCTACGTGCCGAGTTTGGTTCCAATCGACCCATAATTAAGAAAAATCCTGATGATTTCGTCCATTTAGAGGCATTGTTTCGAAACGTCGAGAGGGTCATCCTACAGGATACAGCCTACAGGCTACAGCCCGTCCCCAATAATGCCGAAATCGACCCACTTTCTTCAATATCAAACCCTTAGTCCCACCCTGATGAAGATGTAAACGAAACATCGTATCCAACTTTGCAGGGTGGGACTGTGTGCACCGTCGGTCACATAGCCTACTAACCAAATTTGGTTGCGATCGGACATCAACTTTTGACGTGTCTTACTTCAAAACTAACTGTCACAGTGACACGTCTCGTGCACGGTCAAGTTGGTCTTGTTTCAATCTATCGACATACCAAATTTCATTTAAATCGAACGATTTTTTGATTTGATTCATTGATGATGGGGTTTCGTAGTGCACGAAACGTCGTCAAAATATCATGAAAAGATGGAGCTCTTCGAGACACATCTACATTCCGAGTTTCAGGTCCCTAACTCGCATGGGGCCCGAGTTACGACGCTCCAAAGAACCATCTCAACTTCCTCATTGATTTACCACTACTTTTTTTCCTCGCTAGCTCGTATGTCAAGGCCATGTCGTGCCAAGGTTCAAGCCGTTTCACTTCAATAATATGAAGGGACCTATGAAAGCACCCTATGTCAATAATATAGGGTGCCTCAATTAAAATAACATAAGTTTGAATCATATTTCGAAAATGACGGTTTTCAGCAAAAAACTATAGTTACGCCACTGGTTTCTACGTAAAATACTCTACGGGGAGTTAGGACAATAATTATAAAGAAACTGGGATTCGCTTACCTATCAAATACAGAAACCAAACAAAGAACGCATAATCCAAAGAATAATCCTACGTAGATATCACTATAGTAGGCGTAATGTACTAGGAAGGCGTGGTCCTGACTCTGGAAGTTGCAGATTATGTATAGCCAGTGACCCAAGCCCAGACCGCCTAAAAGTCCGTGGCATAAAGTAGAGAAGCGGAGCCACCATTTTTGGAAACAGATTGCTACTTGAATGGGATGTCGAGAAGGAAATCTGAAATTGGTAACATGTTTTTCCACATCAGACTTTATTCAAATAGTCTAAGAAGTTTGTTTTAAGGTAAAATAGGCTTCATATTCTACAAGAGATTTTTGTCTGGATAGTTCACTGAAACTGTTTACCACATTAAAAGAAACGCTATAAACTCGTTCATAGTAAACGTATTACCTAAGAAATTTACTCTAGGCTTGGTGCATTTCAAGTGATTTCAACAAATCCCGACCGCAGCGCTTCAACGGCAAAAATCAGAAATTATCAGTACCTACTTCACGCCTCCGTCATGTTGATCGCATTAAAATAATATTAAAATCATGATTGTGTCATAATATTTAAGTATTTTATTTTTTTCTAGTGTAGTTATTGAGACTATAAGATACTCAGGTACGAGGTTTGTGTGATGTAACGCTGTTTCGGGTAGTAAACAATCAGTGAAAAAGAATTCGAACTAGGCGTCGTGTCGTGGTTGTGGCAAAAATTTCCGAAAAAATGTTAAGGAGAGCGTAATTAGGGCGTTGTTGGGACAATGACATTCAATAATTCATCTTTCCCGGATATTCAACTCTTCCGAAAAAATACTACTTATTTATAGCCTTAAAAAATAATAAATAGTAGTAAAAATAAAAAATAATAATAATTTTTTAGTAATATTTCTATAAATAGTAGTGGTTTCTCGTTCCGATTGCATACCAAAAATAATTAATTATCTCCAGTTTGTGTGCTTCTGCAACACGTTTGTTTAGTTCTTAGTGTTCAGTGCATGGTGTGATCAGAAAATTGTAATAAAATAACAGTGTAATAAAAATCCAAACCAGACATTCCACATAGAGAACTTCAAACTTTTGTGCTTGTCGTACTCCTCTATTATTAATTATTTTAAGGTAAGAACTAGAAGTATTTATCAAGATATTACACCTAAATGAGTAAAAAGCCTTCGCCGCCAGTCTGCATAGTACTTTATAATGGTTACTTACAATAATCAAAAGATAGGTATTAAAGGGTAGGTATTAACATTTTATTGTAGCATGCCTTTTACATGCTCTGTTCCAAATAGTAACGGGAGTTATAGAGGGGGTCCCAAGGTTTCTGCTTTTATATTCCCCAAAAATGACGAGCTTCGTAAAAAATGGTTGACAGCTATTAAAAGAGATAATTTCACTCCTACTAGTAGTTCTCGGGTAAGAAGTGCATTAAATATGCCTCAAAAAGGCCATGTTACCTTAGTGATGATATAGTTATGGCTAATGCTTACACTTACCTCACTATAAGTAAAATATTGAAAGAAGAATCAAGCTTTTTACATCAAAAAGATCACAGAAAGATATTGACAACATTGACATTTGAAAATATAAATGGCCTGGATGTAAGTCTTTTTTTAGGTCACAATTGCCCCTCACATACGTCAGAATTTATTATTAAATCCATCTTGTTCAGAATATAAAATATATTTTATTGAAGAACTATCCAAAAAAAGGAATGACGTCTTTACCACAAAGACAATACCCTATGTAAAGAGAAAGAGTAAAGAAAACTAAGCTAAGCGTAAGTTTTACTTACGAACCCCCAAAAAGGTATTTAGTTTTTTTTTCTATATAAAATCTTGAAACACATATTATATTTTTAATTTATCCTCACCTATTATAGCTTAAATTTATTCCCATTTGTGTAATGCTGCAAAACATAGAAAAAATATTCCATATTTTTTGACCCAAGCCAGTGTAGTTTATAATTCGAAGAGCATTTACCAAGGCTTTTACTAAGACAAGTAACTTCCTATACTGTCCATAATAGTATATATTTATCAAACGTTCAGCAAATTCTGAACTATGGTAGATAAGTGTTTACAATTGAATATTTAGTTTATATTGCTATTTTCTGTCATATATTTCTGGTTATTTCTTTTTCCGATGATTTTTAACACACTATATATGCTACTTCAAGTTTGAATATTTTAACACTACTTATTTTCTGAGAAAGCAGACCTTTTTATAAAAAGTAACTAACTGATGTTTTCATAAAAGTAATAATACAAAAAATTCCATACTTATGTGGAGAACTTTAGACTCCCTGTAAATTAAAAAATTAGTGAAATATTACGTAATCTAAAAAGCAGGTTTTAAAATACGCGCCAAATAAAGCACTTCTATCTCCGCCATATTGGAAAAGGTTGAATGGCCTTGTGTGGAGGTGGTGATGGGTCAGCATGGTGGCCCGGCCACGGCCGTGTTGCCGCTTTTCAACATGCCAGGTGTGACGTATTAAAAATAAAGTGTGGATTTTTATTCTGGGCTTTTTTGTTTTTATTTATTTTCTTAAGAACGACTTCAAATTTTTCGAAAGTGAGCAGAAAATTCTAGAATTAATTGTTTTATTCAATTATGCTAATTCCAAAATATAGTGAAAGAGCCCATTATACCCACTAGCAAAACCGGCGATTAAAACTATGTTCGCTACCGTAGTTGAACTCATCTAAAAAGAACTCATCTATCTTTTTTTTAACTGGAATAATAAATTATAATACAAGTTAGACCTTCTAAAGATATCAAAATATTTACTTTTTTATTTTTAGAATTTTCACAAATTATTCTTTCTAACACTTTTAGAATTTGTAATTAAAAATAAATTTTTCGTATTCTCGGTATTTAATCCCGTGTATTTGTAAGTACTAGTTGTTTACGATATTCTCTCCGATGGTGGTAGCACCGGATGGTGGAATGCACCAAGCCTGTACCAAAATAACCAAACTAAGACTGAAGCTTACCCCCTATCCAAATTACTGATTGAATCCAAATCTTGAGCGGTCTGTCTACTCAGAGGTATATTATTATGCTTTGACGTCTCTTCGAACCTGGATTTCTTTTGTACGTAAATCTTATCCGATCTTCTCGGACTCTTGCGCATTTTTTCGGTTTTGTTTCCAAAATCATCGATCGCGTTTTCGAAAACGTCATCTTGAAGTTCTTCCAGTGCCAGCGTTACGTCACTTTTCGGTTGGTGGTCGTCCTCCCTGAAATTGACAGGAAAAAAATGACAATACGCGATATAATTTCAGTTTGTGTTTCAGTTTTAAAAAGTAAATTTTACCCAAACGTTATTAAACTAATGTATAAAGATTTTACTTAAACATTTACCAGTGTAGTCTGAAATTTTCCGACCTCCATGTGCACGGCAACATTTATCCAACAATTCGAAATTTGTTTACGCATCTTTTGAAAGACACCTACTAAGATTTAGCAATTTTAGAAGCTTAGTAGTTTGAACGTAGTAAACATAGATTCAGTATGCCTAAAACCAGGGGGGTGACAGTAAACCGGAAAATTGGAAACAGTTGTGGCGCGGTTCTACCCAGGCAGAAAGCATGGCCTTCTAGACTGTCCTAGACAAAAATCTGACTATTTCTATATGATTTCTGTCAATTTCTGCTACGGAACATTTTTATGCACGTCGACGTCCTGTTCTTTTGTCGTTTGTCTGTGTGTCAGCGTCAGCTCCCGAGGCCTCTGGCAAGGTCGGGCGCCATTTTAATTTTTGCCGTTTAGATTTGATTGGAAGTTTGTTTCTGATATTTCGGCTGAAATTTATAAGTACAAAGATGTTTTTTGATATAAAGTTCCTTGTTAACACTTTAATAAAGTATATATGATATTAATTACATGAAGAAAATGATGAAATCGACGTTTCTGCGTGTAATAGGTATGGGCCATATTATATATGTAAAAATAGGTAATATATTAACTGTTTTTATATTTTTTTAGCTTTAAACCCAAGGATCTTGGGATATTCTTTGGCAAGGATTTTTCCGTATCTCTACTTTAAAGACTGATCGGTGATTTTGAGCAATTGAAAGCAAGTTATACAAGGTAAATTATGATTATTGAACTATTATTAGCCTACATTAATTTTCTACAACATGAAGAGAAATGCGTAATTACATATCACATAGGTACCTATTATGTATTTTCATAGCAATAATGCTATAAATCTATGTATGTAGATTATTTTTAAAATACAAATGAGGTATTAGATGTATATGTATCATATTTTTTATTCATTTTATTTTCATTCAAGTCCTGTTTGATTTAATTCACAAAAGTTTTATGTACCTATATTTATGTTTTTTACATTTTTTTTTTTTGATTTCAGGTTTTGTGTGGGTTCCGGTTGCCTTTTTCCTGCTTCCAGTTATTAAGTTTTATGCCCGTGAAGCTGTGAAACATAGCTGTGAAAACATTTATTTATCTTCAAGTTTCTGTAAGTCAATGCACTGTTACTTTACTAATTCACTTTAACACAGCATCTCTGATATTATTTGAATATTTGATATTGATACAGTAGTTTATTGGATTATAGCTCTTTAATTGTGTTGATTTGCATATTTACATTGTTCTAAATTCCAAATAAATATTTTTGAGTAATTTTGTTGTATTATTTACTACTAGAAAGAGTAAAAGTATATTAACCCTCATTTAAACCTCCTGAACAGCCCGCCATTAAAAACCGGAAACGGAAATAAATTTCATAAAATTGAAATTGTCATGTCTATGTCATGTCAAATGTCCCAGCCGCCATATCTGAAAATTAGTTACCCAGGCAGCCACGCTGTTTCCATAATTTAACATTGACTTGACACTTCTTCTTGTATTTATTATTTTATGCCTAAAACTACTGAGCTTATACAGGATTGTTCACCACATACGGCACGGAGTATGGTAGCTAAATGATTAGATTTTTACAAATTGTAAGTTTTGCGTTCGTTGAAGGACTATTAGAGCTACAATTTAAAAATATTTTTACAAGATGTGTAAAATAAATATAAAATATCAAAGTTGTATTTTTTAAAATGGAACATCCTGTATATTATTACATTTTTAGCTTCTACGATTAAAATAAAGGTAAAAAAAATTGATTAAGGTTTACCACACCTAAACCGTTTTTGAGATATTCTCAATTTTGTGAATATTGCACTAAAAATTTTAAGGCTTCATTTCTCCAAGAGTATCAAAGTTTTTAATACTAAATATTTACTGAAGTTTATTTATTGATCAGTTATTGTGTTGCAATTATAAAAATAATACTACCTGATACAGAGTGTCTAAAAATTTATTTTAAATTATTTCTAGCTTTAAACGGCAATAACTTAAATTTAAATAGAACGCCCTGTATATTTTAGGAGAATCAAATGCACAATTTAATTGTCTATCAAATTGTGTTATACCACTTTTTACCTATCCCATCAAGTTTTCGTAGAAAATGCATTTTCTTATAATTTAGACCTCATTTATCAATATACCCATGGAATATTGACATTTTAGATTGTTTTTAAAGTAACAAATGTACAAAATGTACAGGCTAGTAATATTATCGTTTTTAGCAAAATGATAATATTACTAGCCCGTTTGTATGCAAAAAGAAAACTATTTAAATCTTTATAAAAGAGTATACCATTAATTAAATATACCACCCTTATTTCCGCCCAAATACTAATTAATTACATAGTTAATTATGTTCGTTAATAAATTATTCTAAAGAAATGTGGATTTGAATCAGAAATCAATATAATAATAAGTTATGAAAATGAATGTTGTTATAAATAAGCATTTGTCAAAAAATAAAATATTATTTTCAGGGTGTACCACACAGTCTAATACACATAGAAAATTCAGTTTTTTAGTATTTGGAGCAATTATTATTAATCAACGCAAACAGTCAATTAATGTAGTTTGAACACTGGAATCATATTAATTGGTCCTCTTTAACAAATATTTAAATAGTTTTTTTATTTTTTAATGAAATAAACAAACTATATCGACAATATTAGTATCTGTACTCTTTAACAATTTGGTACATCTTTAAAAATAATCTAAAATGTCAGTATTCCATGGGTATATTGATAAATGAGTCCTGAATTACAAGAAAATTAATTTTCTACGGAAACTTGAAGAGATAGGTAAAATATGATATAATACAATTTGATATACTGTACGTCTGTCCGTTCTGTAGCTACGGGGTATCCGTGAGAGGGGAAACGATATTCTCTGGATGTTTTTCGTAAAAAAATTAGACGATGCGTCCCATCAATAAAAATTCGACAAATTTGCAAGTAGCCAATAAAATGAGTGGGCGGAGCGATTTGCGGTGACGTACTCGTCAAGTCGACGTATAAAATATATTGCTGTTTATTTAAATGTTTTTTGTCCGCATTCCTTTCATAGACACAGATCCAGCAGACGTACTGTACACTTAAATTGTGCATCTGATTCTCATAAAATATACAGGGTGTTCAATTTAAATTAAACAAATTATTGCCGTTTAAAGCTAGTAATTATTTATAATGAAATTTTAGACACTGTGTATAAGCTAGTATAATTTTTATTATTGCATCACAATATCTGATCAATAAATAAATTTCAGTAAATATTTAGTATTAAAAACTTTAATACCCTTGGAGAAATGAAGCCTTAAAATTTTGACTGCAATTTCACAAAATTGAAAATATTTCAAAAACATTAAGGTTTAAGTGTAATAAACCTTTATCAAATTTACCTTTATTTTAATCGTAGAAACTAAAAATGTAATAATATACAGGGTGTTCCATTTAAAAAAATACAACTTTGATATTTTTTATTTATTTGGGACACTCTGTATCTTGTAAAAATATTTTTAGATTGTAGCTCTAATAGACCTTTAATGAACCCAAAACTTATAATTTGTAAAAATCTAATCGTTTAGCTACAATACTCCGTGTCGTATGTGGTGAACAACCCTGTATACTAGAGCCGAGCATTCACCCGTGAATTATATAGTTAGCTGTAGTCAAGCATTAGGTTGTCCACTAAGAATACCTGGATTGGAGCGTTTTATGAGGGGTGAGGGGTTGCTATATTGTTGAAATTTGCATACTTGGATTGCTAAAGATTTTATTATTGTTAGAAATAATGAATACACGGCCTCTTTAAATTTGTACTTTTTCCAATAGGGTTCTTTGTACACAACCCGGGTTTCCGACCATTTTATGTTGTGGTGCTTGGACCACACATGATCTGCAATGCCCGACTCTATTGTTTCATCTCTTTGCGTATGTTTTTAACGTTTGTCAAGTTGTACATGTAGAGGACGTTTTGTCTCTTCAATATACAACTATTCACCGCACTCGCAAGTGGATATGGATATCCGGAACGGATATGGAATGGAAACGGAAGGTATAGTGAGAATCAATCTATGGAAGGAAAGGATATGGAACGGAAAGGAAACGGAACGGATAGTGTGCATTGTCCTATTCATTTAGAATGATATAATATTTTATGTAAACGGACGGGAAACGGAAGGGAGCTGATATGGAAGGTATAGTGAGAATCAACCTTTAAGTGGAACTAACAAACGGTCAGTTCATTTTAAAAATCTAGATTACCTGTTTCTAGTTTTATGTTTCCGTTTTGACGTGTTTCCAGCCGATCCCGGTGATACTTCCCGCCTTTTTTTCTTGCTTTTCTTCCGCTCCTTGGGGATCATCATTTCCCTGCTGTCTCCCATTCCCGCCTCGGGTTCTCCGTGACGTTTCTTCCGAGATTTCGACTTTTTGTTCGAATTGTTCAGGATCTCTTCGTTATCTCTGGAATTGTAAATGTCCTGAAGAGCGTTGTAGGCATTCCGCTCGTCGGTGTCCATTTGGGAGTATTCCTTGCGTCGTCTGTAGTGTTTCTTTTCTTCCGGACTGAGCAGTTCTAAATTTCCTAAAAAGGGACAAAAGAGTTTAAAAACATTAAAGTAACTAAATTTGAAAATTTAAAAAATAAAACAATGATTTTGTTTAAAGCAAAGGAGTAATTTATTTTTGTTATCTATATGATATACAGGGTGGTCTATTAGTGCGAGGAAGTCCAATATCGTCGTTGTTGACAAAGATATAAAAAAATTCATTTTCATGTTGCATTGTTTATAATGGTGCATATCCTAAAAATATTTTGTTGTATACAAGATATGACAGAGTTTTAAGTTTTTTTTAAATTGACCACCCCCCGCCCAAACCATACCCTTCCATAAAAATTCTACATATCGTATATAATATAGTATGAATAAATCCGCGATGAAAAATTTACATTATCCTATACTGGGTATTTTTTATAGCGTCGCCAAAATTGCAATATTTAAAGTGCTATATTTGATATCAATTAAACTTTTAGTTACGTAATTAGGGCGTGATTTTCAAATTCATTTTTGCCAACCATGGACATATTCGGCGCCGGACCGACTAATTTTAATTTAAATTTCGCGCTTGGGATTTAGATGGTAGCTCTGCTGTAAAAAATGTCAAGTTGCCACATTTATTTATTTATTTCCTGACATTGTCATTCGTTTTGACAATTTAGTTTTATATTACGAATTTATGGTTTAAATAAATAGTATTGTGATACTTTAAGCTTAAACATGTTTATTAGCAGACCTGACAGTCGAACATTGTTCTTTTTAGAACCTCTTTTAGTGTGAAGTGGGTACAAGATAGCTTAATAGCCGTAAAAAATCTATCGCAAGTTTATTAGAATATTTTGAACGGGAAAGCGATAGTAATGGCCCTTTATGTCCCTTAAGTGCTGTTAAAGAAGGTGAGTTTTGTTGATGTAAATAATGACGTTTATATATTGTTGCGAACCCGTGTGAACTCGGCCTAACCTGACTAAAATGCCGCGCCCATATTCGAGAGCGAATGGAATAACCTGGGCGGCTAAAAACATTCGAGTAAAATCTGGACTGTCTGTTTCTTTCATATATAACCCGACGCCTGGGCCCTGAAGAGGACAGAAAAAACAGATCGGTCGACGCGTACAATTGCCGCGCTAAATTCAAAATAAATTCCTTTTAGATAAATAGTAAATAAGTTGTAAATATTTCTTTAAGTAGTTTTATCGTTATTGTTTTGTTACTTAGTGTAAAATAAATTGTGTTTAAATAAATTAGACTTTCTATCCACACGGATTATAATAACAATATTTATAATAAATTTATTTTTGTTTCCTAACATATTTCGACTAAAAGAAAATATGTAGAAATGGACAACGCTGTGCCGGTCGAGTTTAATCACGTGACTAAAAGTTTATTTGGTGTGAACTGTATGCGGTTTTTGACAGTAAAATACTACAAGTTTCGGCTATGTTGTAGCAATAAATTGTGTGCTTGTTGGTTGTTGGCAGTATTACCTGATAATTCTTCTGGTATTTTCTCATCCTCGTAAAAACTCAAACTTTGGGGTCTGGACTCGGTAAAGTGGTTGTGCTTGTTGATATCTCTTTTCATTTCCGTTTCTATTAGGGCCAGTATCTTCGTATTTATTTGACATTCGCCGTCCACAGATATTTCTCTACTCGGCGTGTGCACCACTAAAAATGACCACTTTTTATTTTGCAATATCTTTTTTCATATACAGTATAAAGCAATACAGAGTAGTTTCCGGTCCCTTGTTATTGAAAAAAATATAGGATGAGTCTTAAATAGATCAAACTTAAATAACTCGGTTATTTTGGACCTATTTGAAAAATGGTAAAGAGAAATAATGTTTCTTTTATCGAGATCTATCAGCCCCGAAAATATTTGCACTTATTTAAGACTCACCCTGTATAAAATAATTTTTTTATATTATGTAACAAACCATATTTTATTTATGAATATAAAAGAAAGTAATAATAAATTTGAATAAAAAATATAATTGCGGAAAATGCCGAAAGGCTCCAAAATTATCAAAAGCTTTCGATCGCGTCCGCTGCAAGAACAGCGCTAATAGTATTTACATTGTCCTTATGGGCACTTTCCAATCTAAACTTGTTTCATATATCTATGGTACCAGAGAAATGATGTTATTGTCGCGAAAATTTTTTTTGGAAATTTTTTTAATTTTTAGTTAAAAGACATAACATCTTCATATATTGACAACACAGGTAATAGATTAAATTTACATGAAAAAAAGGAAAGAACGAAACCCTAGAAATGATCCAGCGATTCTCAAAGTGTAAGCCAAAAAATTTTTTTTTTGGAATTTTCGAAGTAAAATAGGTATCTCGGTTATTTTGGACTTATTTGAAAAACGGTAAAGAGAAAATACGCTTCTTTTACTGATATACGTTTTGATTAGTTTGAAGTGTTTGTTTTATAGTGGTCAATATTTGGGTATTTAGGTGCCTCTATGTTTTGAAAAAAAACTTTAAATTAATATATGTAACAGAAAATAGTTATTAAGTTATGTGTAACTGTATGACTGATAATAACTAACAATAAAATGTTTTGATTTACAATACATTTTTTATACAGGATGGTCCGAACTGTTTTCCGGAAACTTCGGCAGCGTTTTCTTCAGAAAAAAAATAATTAAAAAAGTTCGTATAAATGTATGTCCTAAAACGCTTAAGTTTCGGAGATGTAGGGTGTAGAAATTTTATTTTTGTTTCGATTTTTTTCAAATAATTTATGAAGTAACGTCAGTATTTGGATGAAAATTGGTGTCTGGGAGTTTTTTGACATGAGAAATTTGATTTTGATGTACCTGTATAAAACTACTGAGTAAAAAAATATACATTTACGACGTTTTTTACGTTAAAAAGGTCTCTTGGTAAAAATCGCTATGAGTAATGGTTCTCGAGATATTTGGAACCGAAATTATCAATACCTGTCATCATTGACATAAATTAAAAAATTAAATTAAACATGTTGAGTAAATAATTATTAGACGGAAATCATAAATTTGAAATGTTCTTGTGGCAAAAGTTCAACAGAAACTGTTTTATCTTTATTTTTTCGAAGAAAAATTTATAATTAATTTAAAAAAATAAGTTCCCAAATTTATCATTTTAGTCAAATAACTATCTACTCAATATGTTTATTTTTCGTCAATAATGACATGTATTAACTATTTCCATTCTAAATATCTTGAGATCGGTTCCCGTAGCGATTTTTACCAAGAGATATTTTTTACGTAAAAAATCACGCAAATGTATATTTTTTCGGAAGTTTTATACAGGTACGGGCGAAAAGTTATTACTTTTTAAAACAGTTAAACCATAATATGTAGGTGGCGCTCCCTATAAATATGAGTCATATTGACATCATAATCAAATTTCTCCGCGCAAAAAACTACCAGACACCAATTTTCATCAGACACCAAATATTGACGTTACTTCAAAATTATTTTGAAAAAAATCTAAATAAAAATAAAACTTCTACACCCTGTGTCTCCGAAACTAAGCATTTAGGACATACATTTATACTAATTTGTTTACTTATTTTTATCTGCAGAATATGCTGCCAAAGTTTCTGGAATACAGTTCGGACCATCCTGTATTCGGACACACCATCCTGTATTATTTACTTTCCTCTAAAGGCGAATTCTGATGACTCGTGTACTTGGCAAGTACGCCAATATTTGCGTACTTGGCAAGTATACTACCTTTGTAAAAAACATTTTTTTGCAACAAGTTTGGCGCTCGCGCGGCGCGACGAGTGACAAATATTTGCACATGTAAACTGCTCACACGACATGGCAAGTATATTCCAATAATAAATGTTGGTACAAGTACACGAGTCGTGATAATCCGCCTTAATAAATATTAAGACGAACTCTGATGACACGTGTACTTGGCAAGTACGCCAATATTTGCGTACTTGGCAAGTATAGTATACTTTGTTGTAAAGAACATTTTTTTGCAACAAGCTTGGCGCTAACGCGGCGCGACTAGTGACAAATAATTGCATAAAGAAACCACTCACACCACATGGCAAGTATATCCCAATAACAAATGTTTGTGCAAGTACACGAGTCGTCAGAATCCGCCTTTAAAAAAGCACTACTGACAAAAAATAATTTGAAACAAGTTTACTGTACTCACCATTATAGTTTTCGTTCTTATCACTTTTGCTAATATCCAAGTTATCCTCGGAGTTCGCGTAGTCATTATCCGAACTACTAGTGGCCGATTTGATCTGTTTATGCACCTGGGCTACTATTTCCTGCTTCATGTTATCCGTCGACTCTTTCTGTTTGTGCTTTCTGGCGTGTCTCGGCGAGGGCGATAGTTTTACGGCACTACTCATAGTTCAGTCCCTATAATATCACCCACGCTTCAACCAAAACTATATCGATCGAAATTAACTCTTCTAGGGTCACGACCTTTTAAAATAAGCACTAAGGTGACTTTTTACACGCAAAATATTATATTTTTGCCATGCCATTATTGCGTTTCGTTACGATATCGATTCGGCTAGGTTTAAAGGGCAAAGTGGTAAGGGCTGACTGCTGACTGACTGCAAACGCACGATATGCAGGAATAAAGCAGTAGGAAGAGCGACAGTGCGCATGGTTGGCCTATTTTGATCAAGGGTTTGAATTTGGTGCGTTAAAGGTTACCGTTTTTTTTGTGCTTGTTTTATTTTTAGTTGATTTTATTGATTCGGAGGGATGATATATTTAGAAGAGATCTTTTATTTAGAAAGAGTGAAAAGAGATGAATGAAGAGTATTTTTGTACATTTTCTGACCTAGGTTTAAGACGATGGCATTACGCATATTTTTTTTAATAAAAATACTTAGTTTTTTATTAACGTTAAAAAAATAAATACGTATCCCTAATATGGGACAATAATACTGCGTTTTACGTGGTAGATGCGTTCTTGAAATCGTGTATATACGGGCTTCATTTATATACCGGGTGCGTCTCAAAAGTGGCTCACCCCCTATAACTTGTTTATTTTTTCATATAAAATATGGAGATTTGCGGTGCGATTCTGTAAATATATTTCCTGTCTAGTGACTCATCAATCATATACAAATAACATAGGCTAGGCAAAAAATTTCTTGCTACGGAGCTTACAGAATCCTACTGTTTGGTTTGGTATGTTAATATATGACATAAATTAGGATTGATTGACGTATTCAATTCTTTTCGGTCACTTCCTGTTGCACCGGAAATTACTACAACTTTTGATTTTTAATTCATGCACCCTCGGTATTTTTTTTACTTTATTCGGTAGAAAACGACACTCTGAATAAAATTATATATCATATCTCATCTTTTGACATATTCGAATTAAAAATTGTCGTATTTTAAATTTCTAAATAAGTTTAATCAAGGAGCCTTTTAAAAATAGGTTTGATTGTCTAATTTTTTTAGTGTCTTGTCCTTGCCGGTTGCCGGTTAAAAGATGTCCTAATCGTATTTTTAATCATATCTTATTTTTTTTCCAAATGGAACGAGGGTGGCTCATTAGCCCATTTGAAAAAAACATTTTTTTTCAAATCTTTTATTTGAAATTGATTTTTTTTTATTGACATTTTGAGAAAAAGACTTTTCGAAATTTCCTTCTACTTTTCCAAATTTCCGTACCGTTTTAGAGACAATTAAAAAAAACATGAAAATATGGTTGAAACAAAATAAAATATAGTAATTTATAAAACACAAATATAAATTATTATAATATGGTATATACAAAAATACTTATTTTCTTTACTTTGTACAAAACTAAACACAAAAATATTAAAATTATACAGGGTGAGTCTTAAAGAAGTGCAAATAAATTCAAAATATCCGAGTTATTTTGTTTCAAAAATTTCCAAAAAAATTATTTTTTGCTAAAATTTTGAGAACGACCGGATTTTTTTCTGGATTTTCTTTCTTGTAAATTTAATATTTAATCTACTACCTATGTTACCATATTACCAAAAAATTATGTTTTTTAACTAAAAACTAAAAAAAATTCCAAAAATTCCAAAGTTTCGCGAAAAAAAACTCATAATCGTGTTTCTGGGGATAAAATATACTACCCCTAAAAAGATTTGTACTTATTTATGACTCACCCTATATAATGTACATTATAATAATTTAAATATCACTATAAGAATTTGGAGACTTCCTTTGATACTTGCTTGTCATATTCGGCTTTATTCTTCTTTGATTGCTGAAAAATTGTAAAAGGCATTAATTATTTTTTTTTTGTTAAAGACAATTAAAACAATGTTTGGAAAATTTACAGATAATACAAAGATTTTTTAAAAAATAAACATTTATTCTGTCCAGCGAAATAATATATAACAGTGTCAGTAGTAATTATAATTAAAAAGTACCAGACATAGATCAGAAATAGATAAAAGAAGCAATAAATTTAGATTGGAATGCTTGTCTTCCCGCGAAAATTTACAATTGTTTTGGAACGCGTACCACATCTGTTCTGTGCGCGAACGTTGTAGGGCGCTGCCATAGTGGTTGCTAAGAACAACCGCAAGCAAAGTTAGAAATTAATAGATAGTCATTTTCCTTTATCTATGGTTAGAAAGTATTTTTTCTTATCAAAATCAGTTTCTTCATAAATTAAACAATACAAAAAAATCTCAAAAAATTAAACCGTTCTTGTTGAAAAAATACCGAAAAGTGTATAAAGCGTTTTTTTTTAAAGTTATTGCGATCATGACGATTGTATTTACGCAAAATCCTTGATAATTGTGGAAAAGTGACATTAAACAACAAAAGTCAACGTTAGATAAAACACTGGTTTCTGGTTTCCAAAAGGTGATCCATATATTTTCCAACATTGCATTAGTGCTGTTAAACCTGGGGGATGAGTTAATAACTATGATCCAACATTATAATAAATATTATAGGTATTATGGTCATGAATCTATTGTTTCACGCTTCGCGCAGCTGTTTTTACAGTTTTTTAAATATATTTTAGGGATTTCATACATGTGTTTATACAGGGAGAGTCTTAAATAAGTGCAAATATTTTCAGGGGTGGTATATTTCGACCCCAGGAACACATCTATGAGTTTCTTTTCGCAAAAAAAAGATATTGAAACTCGTGCATTTTCTTTTAAATTTCCCTGTATAATTTTCGAAAACTTTTTAGAACTGCCTGTTCACCGCAAATTTTCCCACGGTATAATTTCTTAATCCCTGATATTACCATAGTTACAGCTTTACTCTATGGTTACGGCACTAAAAGGGATGCAAATACAGAAAAAATCCGGTGGCTCTCAAAATTTTTCCAAAAAAATATTTTTTTTTTTAAATTTTCAAACTTGAATAACTCGGTTATTTTGGACCTATTTGAAAAATGATAAAAAGAAAATGTAGGGCACTTCTTTTATCGAGATCTACCAGCCCCGAACATATTTTCACTTATTTAAGACTCACCCTGTATAAAATATATTTTTTTTTATTATGTAACACACCATATTTTATTTATGAATATAAAAGAAACTAATAATAAATTTGAATAAAAAATACACTCAGATGCAAAAAAAACGCAACGTCGAAATTTTTAGTCAAATTTAAAGTGTTATATTTTTGTAATTTTTAGCCCTATTTTCATGAATTTTTTAGCAAGCTGTATACAATTATATCAACATTCGTAAACTCAGTTTTTTATAATCCTTAATATTTGGCATATTCTACAAGGTTAATCGAGGGGTTGTTTTTACCTTAAATTTAGAACACCCTGTGCAATAATTTCGTGTGTAAATTTTCCTAAAATATAATTTTACGGTCAAAACCACCAGTCCTGAATATTTTGTTTTTTGATTCATGTCAATACATGCTTTGGTTAATTTTTAAGAGCGAAATGAATTGATCACGATCAATTTGTAATTTTTCAATTATCATTACTTTTTGATGTAATTTTTTAATATGACGGGATGGTTTTGGTGACTATTGTCGTAACGTCATAATGCGTTGCATTGTATACTCTATACTAAATTTAAAAAACGTTAAAAACTAACGATACAGTCCGAGTTTTAATAAACATTAATAATTATAACAAAACTAAGGATATTAAAGAAAAAATCTGTAATACTTAAGTACACAAACAGAAAACAAAAATTGTAAAAAATACCCTAATACTTTGTATTACCTCCCTTGGTTGCTATAACTGCTTGTAGATGTCCGTTCATACTCTCATTGAGGCTGCATATATCATATTGCTTTATGTTTTCCAATTCTTCTTCAAGGGCCAAGTGAAGTTCACTTAATGAAGCTGGTAACGCTTCGCGACCTTTAACCCTTTTGCCAAGCATTTCTCAAACGTCGAACATGATGGGCAGTGCATAGTAGTTTATAGTTCACAATAATCACCAAAGCCGCATTGTCATATTCAAAAATAACTTCAAATAGAAATGATAATTGAAAACAATTGCAAACTGTTGGTGGCAAGTTCATTTCGCTCTTAAAAATTAACCAAAGTATGTATTGACATGATCCAAAAATCAAAATGCTCAGGATACATGGTTCTGACCGTTATAATTTAGGACAATTGACACACAAAATTATTGCATAGGGTGTTTTAAAGTTAGGGCAAATGAACAACCCCTCGAGTAACCCTGTATAATATGCCAAATTAAGTTAATTCTAGGAATCGTGAAAAATCAGAAATAAGCTAACCATTATCTCTGAATTTCCAGTAATTTCTAATCGTTTCTTTAGTTATAAATATTTTTTCTCCGCAGGCTCTACGGCTAATACTTTCAGAGACACAGCCGATAGCTATTCGTATATTGGAACACCCGGTACTTTGCCACTTTTGAATGTCCTTCTGTCATATAATTATCGCTGGACAGACAATAAACTATTTACGTTTAGCGCATCTTGTAATTCTATGTTGAACAGCCTGACGAGACCTCTGAGATTTCTCCTTATAATTCTGTTGAATTCGGACCTAGTGATTTTAAAAGGAGCAGCAGTGGTTGTTACATTTGGGTTACTAGGTTTTGTGGTTGTCTCTACTACCTATACAGACAAAAGTAACGTTTTATTAGTGATATCCTTGTTTATATACAGGTTGGCCCGAATTGTATTCGGGAAACTTCGGCAACATATTCTGCAGATAAAATAAGTAAAAAGGTTCGTATACCTACATTTATGTTCTAAATTGTATAGTTTCGGTGATACAGGGTGTAGAAGTTTCATTTTTATTTCGATTTTTATGAACTAATGTCAATATTTGGATGAAAATTCGTGTCTGGATATTTTTTACGATGTACTTAAACAGCCGTTAAACGGTAGCCTACTAAAATGCCGTTAATAGATATTGTGACGTCGTTCATGTCGGCGGAAAGTAATGACTATAAATATTTTGCAAGAGCACCTGTGGGTCCGTGGCTGAGGCTATCGTTTCGTGAGCGAATGGTCCGTGGTTCAAATATCACGCCGAGCATGACTTTTTTATATTTTTTTTTTGCTTATAGCGTGATCTTATTGCATTGGTTCCACTCTTTTTGGTTGGATTGGTTTAGTTATTTGGCGGGTTGGTTAGCGTGGTTATTTGGAGGGTGTTAATTCATTGGTTAGTTGGTTATTTGGTGGGGTTTGTTGGTTTTTACTAATTTATATTTGTTTTTTATATTTTTTTATCAGTGTCGAGGTTGGTTGCGTTGGTTAAGTTGGTTATTTGGTGGGGTGAATAGCGTTCGTTAGTCCTTATAAAATTCCTATATTTCATAAAGCCGTTAAGTGCGTCACATCAACGACGTCATACCTATTAACGGCATTTTAGTAAGCTACCGTTTAACGGCAGTTTAAGTACAGCCTATTTTTTAACATGAGAAATAAGATCTCCGTGCCAGTATTACTCCTACTTGTAGGAAGCGCCAGCTACAATTTTTACACTGTTTTGAAGAGTAAGAACTTTTTGTCCGTACCTTTCTCCCCCCCCCCCCTAATGAGTGAAAAGTTATACATTTCCGCCGTTTTTACGTAAAAAATTTCTACCACTAATGGTTCTTGAGATATTTGGAATCGAAATAATCAATATATGTCTTCACAACCAAACCAAACCAAACTTTTATATAACGTTTTAAGAGGTCTTTTTTACCTAAAAAACGGCGGAAATGTACATTTTTTCACTCATTAACCTTATACAGGTACAGACGAAAAGTGACTAATCTTCAAACCAATTAAAAATTATGTATGTGACACGTGACACCCGCTACAAGTAGGAGTCATACTGACATCGAAATCAAATTTCTCAGGTAAAAAAAACATACACCAATTTTCATCCAAATATTGACATTAGTTAATTATTGGGATAAAATCGAAATAAAAATGAAATTTCTACCCCCTGTATCTCCGAAACGAAGAGAACATAAATATATGCCAACATTTTTGGATACAATTCGGGCCACCCTGTATAAATACATATATGAGGGTAATATAGAACTTATACAAGGCCAATATCTAGACTGAAAATGGATTCTATAAATCAGATAATCATTTTTCTCGAATATACACATATTTTTTACGCAAACGTTTGTTAGGTTTCCCAATTACAAAAATGTTGACTACAATAATTTTAATCAATTGGTTCACAATTTGATCAATCAAAAATTAGTTAATTTAAAAAATATATTTCTGCTCATTCAATAACACAAGCTTACAAATTCGGGTCAGCTTTTGGACCCGAGCAGATGAGAACGATTCTTAACGTTATTTGATGCCCTGAACTCAGATCTTCAATCTATTTGTCAAGATTGGCTCTAGTTTTCGGTGTGACCGAGTCGTACCCACTATGAGCCAGGACAACAAAATGTGTCCTCTGTACCACTTGTAAACCCACAGGACGTTCTATTACCACCTCTTCACATTAAACTTGGCCTTATTAAAAACTTTGTCAAAGCGCTCAATCGCGAAGGACCGGCTTTCTAGTACTTAACCAAGTTGTTTCCAAAGCTGTCATACGCAAAAATTAAAGAAGGAATATTTGTCGGACCTGATATTCGAAAACTAATGGCTGACACAACGTTTACAAAATGTTTAACGCTTGATGAGGCAGCAGCATGGGCATCCTTTCAAAGTGTTGGTCACAATTTTCTCGGTAATCATAAATCACAGGATTACAAGCAAGTAATCGACAATTTGTTGCAAAATTACTACAAGATTGGAGCTCGAATGCCTCTCAAGATACATTTTCTGCATTCACATCTTGATTTTTTTCCACAAAACTTGGGTGACACGAGCGACGAGCAAGGAGAGCGGCTACACCAAGATATAGCGAAAATCGAAAGACGATACCAAGGATTTTGGGACAATGGCATGATGAGCGGTTACTGTTGGACCCTAATCCATGAAACAGATCCCAAGCAGTACAAAAGACTCAGTTCAACCTCTGTTCATTAATGATTTATATTGTTTAATTCAATAAATGACCGTTAACGGTCAAAAATAGTAAAATAATGAATTTATTGAATATTTCGAAAACTAGAACCAATCTGTCGAAATCAATATGATTTGAATTCAGCTCCAAAAATTATCTTAGAAATAGCATTTAGTTGCTCAGGTCCAAAACCGTGTATACTTGTGTAATTACTTACTGGTTGATGTTCTGGTAAAAAATTATCATTTATGAGGTTGTTAACTTTTCCAAACGTGTCTCTCGTGTCTTGGTATTGCTAAAAATAAATAAAACACGTGAGATAATAGAAATCACCTGTTTTTTTTTTCATGGTCAATACGCTCATTACCATTAAGTAGTACGCCATGTGTACTTTCTTATTTGTTATTGAAAATAATATGGAAATACGAGATATTACCATTAATTTTACTTGAAATGGCGTTCGCAGGTTTAGAACCAGGAAATAACCAACCTTTTTCCTGGTCCTAAATCTACATAAGGACGCAAATCTATCACATTATTAATTTTATTTTACATACCTCACCAGCAACTGAAAATAGCGTTTTGAAGAATCCCTTCTTTGTTGCCCTTTTTGTTCTTGATATGTCATCCTTTAGGCTTTTCTAAAACATATTATTACAGTTGAGGGGTTGGAACTTTTGGTGTTACAACAGCAAAGTAAAACACTATAACTTACTACAATACACCAAAACACTGTTGCACTGGACGCGTGTTTGCAAAACTTATATTTTGGCCAATTTTAATCATCTGCTGATGATGCTAATATGGTTAGTGAAACGCGCGTCCAGTGCAGAGTAAAGTGTTTTGGTGTATTATTGTAGTGAATTTTTTCATCCCATTGTACTATTTACATATTTACCATCAATTTAGAACTTACTTTATATTCCAAATTATCATTTTGGTGAGTATTTGTGACATGTAAAACTAGGCTGAGTAGAATGAGACCATTCCTTAAAGTTAATGAAGGCATTCCCTAAAAAAAACGGAAGATTTTTAGTACAGGCAAAATTTATAATCGCAGCTGACTGTAAACCATTAATGTTTAGTAGATTCAACATTGGTGGTAATCTATACTAATATAAAATCCATAACTGACTGACATACTGATTAATCACGATCCTGCTCAAACCACTCAACGTAAGAAGCTCAATTTTGGCATACAGGTTGATTCTAGGGTGTAGAGGTTCGATAAGAACATTTGAGTATTTAAGTAATCTACGGGAACACGGTTTGATAACCAAGTCTACGAATTTATTGGTAGAGAAATTCATGTAAACGTTTTATTCAAAAAATGTGTTTTTTAAAGTTATTTTTCATTTAAAAAAAAAAACAAAAGCCCTGGGTTCAAACCCAGCCTCCCCTCCCCCCCCCATATTAAATAAGTAGGATAAATATATTCTGCAAAACATTTAAGTATGTCAAGGTTACAACAAATAATATCTCTTAAGAGTGTATTGACTCGCCATAATTTTTTTGTTTATTATTGAAGGTTTTTGGCATCGATTTTGCGAATATCTATTGACTTAATGATCGATTTAATCATCGAATGAATCGATTCCGCGTCTATCGTAACAGTTTTTGGCCTAAAAATTATGCAATTTATTTAACGCTTTCACTTAACAAATTGTGAACGACCTCCTCAAGGCGGAACATTGGTACCTTATATCGTTTACGGAATAAAATTATTGAATATTTAACAGGTTACAGTTTATTTTTATAAATTTATATAAATCTATATGTTCGAAGGGTTAAAAAATATCACTATATCGACAATAATAATTGTAGACAATCATGCAGTCCGATTAAACAATTCAGAGAATTATTATGTTCCATACCTATAGCTAGTTACTATTGGAAAAAGTTAATATGGTTTTGGATGAAAATTGGTGTCTGGGTATTTTTTCACATAAGAAATTTGATGTTGATACATGACTGCAAGATCTGCTAGTAAAAATGTTTAAGCTTAAAGTATCACAACACTATTTCATTTTTAAACCAAAAACTCGTAATAGGTACAAAACTAAACTGTCAAAACGAATGACAATGTCAGGAAATAAATAAATAAACTCTGTGTGGCAACTTGACAATTTTTACAGCAGAGGTACCACTTGAATTCCCAGCGGGAAATTTAAATTTCAGTTAGTCAGCCCGGCGCCGAATATATCCATGGTTGGCAAGAATGAATTTAAAAATTGCACCCTTGATTACGTAACTAAAACTTTAATTGGTATCGAATATAGTAGTATCTAGATCAACATGTTTATTTTTTATCCATGATTTCGTGTATTGATAATTTCAATTCTAACTGTTGCTCGCAACGATTTTTAAGCAAGAAAAAGACATCTTTTTTACGTAAAAAGCCGAAAATGCATATTTTCACTGAATAATTCAATACAGGTACGGAAGAAAAGTTATTAATCTTCAAAATATTTAAAAAACATGTACGTGGCCCCCCTTACGAGCAGGAGCAGTGGCGCATCTAGAGATTGAGTCTGGGAGGGGTACTGGCAATATTTAAATAAAGTACCAAATTTAAACCATTACAGGTTGATGGTTGCTAAATCAACCACTTTAATTTAACCAACTAATCAGTCGTCTGGAAGTGTATTATCGCCTAGTTTGTTTGCTATGCTTATGTCTAACATTTAATCAACTATACCTATATGTTGGCCGAACTGGTGCGAAAAGTTAACGTAAGCGGTTGAATATTCGACCACTGAGCATTGGTGACACTGACACTTTCTAAAATCGTTAATATATCCTGTATATTTTCGATCATTTCTCAGAGTGATCATCAGATGCGAGTTTCTCAAAAAACAAAATTTGATTTACTTGATATGGCCATATTTTTGAGTAGAGAGCTAACAGAGATAATCAAAATGAACTTACTCTTTTTTCTTACATTGGATGATACATACAGTTTATACATTATATACACTAGATCATTACATATTATCTATTTGCTTTGACAGTCTCCGGTTGAAAAATCGACCACCACCCTCTCACTCCCTTATTTGTTAACTTTTTGAAAAATGTTATTAAGAACTTATGCTCCCTTTGTGCTAGTTTATATATTTTTTGAAGTCAATTTGATCAAACTAGAAAATAATTAGTACTGCCCTATAAAGGGTTAAATTAAATATTCGCTGAAACCTATGGTTATTGTGGAACAGAATATACTTGGATTGCTTTGGATTTTCTATTTTGTATGGTACTATTAACCTTTTTTGTGACAATTTTATTTTATACCATATTTTATCTTATTTATAAATGTCTTCCTGGGAGGGGTAATTACCCCCTTACCCCTTCCGTATATGCGCCCCTGAGCAGGAGTTATATTGACATCGAATCAAGTTTCTCATGTCAAAAATATCGATATTAGTTCAGAAAGTATTTGGAAAAAATCGAAATAAAAATGATATTTCTACACCCTGTATCTCCGAAAAAAAAGCATTTTAGGGCATAAATTTATACGAACTTTTTTACATATTTTTATCTGCAGAATGTGCTGCAGAAGTTTCCCGAATACGTTTCGGACTACCCTGTAGATTAGTTTATTTTTGAACAAATATTATAATTTTAAGCTGCCCTTAACACAAAAAACATTATTATATTTTGAAAAGTTTATTATCAGCGGTTTATTTAGATGCAGATATTGTTATTTAGAATAAACAATTTTGATATACAAAAATCTAAATTATTCACTGGTTTTGGTTCAATACTTACAACTACACTGAATTTTACATAAACCACAAACTAACTCCAAAACTACACATTAACTTTTCAACTTCAAAGAACCGGTCTCACTTTTGTCACTAGTTTGCTTCATATTATTTAAATAAAATTCGAGCATACCAACAAAAGAATTTTTAAACTTGGTCGAGAGTTTACAAATCAAATAGAATTACTTGCAAATATTCTCGGTGCGTTCATTGTAATTCTCGCTGCAGGATTTGAAAGTAAAACTGTTCCAATGACAGCGACCCACCATTAGACGGCAAAAGTTCCTTTTCACTTTATTAATTTTCAATAAGCTCGGTATTCTTATATTACAATGATGTATTCCAGTAGCGTGCACCAAAAAATATATACAGGGTGGCGCCTCGGTTGATTATACGAAAACGGGAAGATGTAGGATCAAAATATTTTATGGGTATATGTGGGGAGACAATGTCTATAATTTAAAATTATTTTTAAATATACAGGATGTTTTAGAACTAAGATCCATACGAAAGTTATATTTTTTCTTATAGAACACCCGGCATTTTATTTCATTTTTGGATTCTTGAGCCCAAAAAAGGCATTTATTATAAGGGTTATATAATATGTCTAAAATCTTTGGCTTTTGAGATATTTAAAGATATTTAAATTTGCATGCTACAATAAAATAGATTATTAACACACTGTACATTACTTTTCAGAATTAATTCTTATGCTGAGTTTAAAGGTAGAGAAATAAACTTTACTGAAAAATGGTATTGCTTCCTTAAATTTATACAGGGCTATCAAAAGTTGCTGATCTATTTTAAGGATATATTTTATATAAAAACTTCGTTAAAATAACGAATACAACACCCTGTATTTTTTAACTACAGGGTGTTATATTTAAGTATTTCCAAGGAGCATTGGAAAAATAGTTTTGATCGTCTAATGTTTTTCGTATCTTGTCCTAGCCGGTTAAAAGATGCTGAAATCGTATTTTTAATCAGATCTCAATTTTTTCAAATGGAACAATGGAACACTTGGTATTTAGAGTCAAATTGTCGTTATGAACCCCATGTTACAATTTCAAATAAACCATATGCCAAATGTCAAAATTTGACATATGATATGTCATTATATTCAGAATGTCATTTTCTATCGAATAAAGTAAAAATATATGGAGGGTGTCATTTAAAAATCAAAAGTTGTAGTCATTTCCGGTGAAACACGAAGAGACCAAAAACAATTGAATGCGTCAATCAATTCTAATTTATATCATATACTAACATACCAAATCTCGTTTTTTTTTATCTGAAAAAATAAATAAGTTATAGGGGTGAGCCACTTTTGAGACGCACCCGGTATAGTGCACACAATTTTTTCATCATCGTGAACGACATTTTCACGGTAACTAAAAACAAAAAAAATTTTTTTTTGGTGCACCCTACTGTAATTTAATATATTCATTCATTGTAATATAAGAATACCGAGCTTACTGAAAATTAATAACGTGAACAGGAACTTTTGCCGTCTGTAATTTGAAATAAATTTAAAAAAAAATCTCGTATTGTCTTGATGGATTAAAAGTTAAGTGTCTAGCCGCTACAGGTAACTGACGTTCCAGTCGACAAAACGAGTTAGATCGAGTTAATCAATTTGATATTGACTGATTTTATTTATCTATCAATGTAACAACAACAATTCAAAGCTGATGAATTTTTGCTAGTCAAAATTCTTTAATATGCACCAATTATAAAAGAATAATCTACCATTTCAATTACTAAGTAAATCTAAACAGTGAATACAATATTTTTATTAGTAGAATATCATACTGTGCAACTACCAAGTCATTATAATTATAAAAAAATAAAGATGTCTAATATTGATACTAACAATTTCTAACAAAAGTATTGACTGGGTGCCTCAATAGAAACTAAATAAAACTAACTTGGTTTTACATGAGATCTCATGACTTTTTGTAGTGGAAGAATTGCGTTGCGAGACTTGGACAGTTTGGACAGACAAAAATGTTTTAGGTGTGTTTTTTTTATTTTGCGGGTCCTACCTAGATTGATTTTGCTAAAAATAATAATTAAAAATTAATAAAATTCCAACTCACTGTTTTTCTTGAAAAAAACACTCTTGATTTATTAAAAACCACTAGTCACTGTCAACACATTCGTTTTCACACGTCAAATGCAGGTCCACCGAAGACATTTTTCCCTCTTACATTACAAGTCAGTCAAGGTCGAGAACCATTAACCGACTTATTGACGTTACATAATTACCTGGGCAGGTACTAAAATATGCAAAACGAATTTACATTTTTCGGTAAAGCAGATGTTACTGACCCCGGTACTTTTCGGGGAGAGTTACATAACGGATGCTTTTGATAACATACCTACACTTCGCGTCGATTTGAATCGTCAATGGGTCCATTTGATTGATTTGGTATAAACATTTGATTGATCTCTTTCTTCTAATGAATATAATAATATAATTGCTAAAAAAGCTTTAAAAACATTTAGTTTGAATAGTTGGGTGCAGTCAAGCATGAGGTTGTCCACTAAGAATACCTGCATTGGAGCGTTTTATGAGTGGTTGCCATATTGTTGAAATTTCCATACTTTGGATAAGCTAAACTAAAGATTTTATTATTGTTAGATATGAATACGGCCTCTTTAAATTTGCGCTTTTTCCAATCGGGTTCTTTGTGGACAACCTGGGCTTCCCCGCTTCCAACCATTTGATGTTGTGGTGCTTGGACCACACATGATCTGCAATGCCCGATTTCATTGTTTCACCTCTTTGCGTATGTTTTTTATGTTTGTCAAGTCGTACAATGTAGAGGACGTTTTGTTTCTCCAATATATGACTCACCGCACATGCAAGGTACCTTGTAGATGCACTCTTCTTGTTTTGACGATTCTGGTTTTGTTTTTGTTAGGAGACTTCTCAGAGAAGTCCGAGACTTAAAAACAGTTTTAATTTTACACTGCTTGGCTATTAGCCTGATCTTCTCCGATGTTCCTTTCGGTCACTTGTCAAGAGAGCATCCTCCTCAGGCTGGCGCGCCAATGAGCCAGACTGGCATTTGGAATTATTGTCTAGGTTTAGGGATTTTGTCGAGTAACCATTCTGAAGCAAATCGGTTTTAATATTACATATTACTTAGTTCAGAATTCAGAGATTCTTGATCACTGCATAATAGTTCTTGCTCGATGACATAATGTTTTAACTATGCCTCTTTTGGTTGCTTCAGAAGGGCTCGACTGAGAACAATATTGTCACGTATGTGTGGGTTTTTGTATAAACAGCAGTGTTAATAGATCCATCGCTTCTACTGACAAGAACCTCCAGAAACAAACAGAAGGTAGACACTGTAGACAGAAGTTTTCTCTTTCTCAATCGTTTAAAAAGTTTAAGAAATATACAGAGTGTTCCATCTAAAAAAATCATATGCTTGCCAAATAACTGCGCATAAAAAAATATTAAAAATAAATGCGCACGAGGATAGAACACCTCTGATAGAACATTTTGTTGGTGGCATTCTTTGTTTCATAAAAACGTAGCAGTCACAAAAACCACAATATCTTGAAAAAATAAGGACGATACTATGGAAAAAAGTTCTTTCAATGTTTCACATTTTAAAAAAACTTTTTAATACTTTTGTGTATCGTGGTTGATATAAAATTATACTTTAAAGCAGAAACATTTACTTGATAACAACTACTAATTGCACCCTCTATATAAGAGAATAAGTAACAGTTTTAAATTTAGATATTTTGAGCGATTTATTGATAGATATACAGAATAAAACAACACATAAATGTATACCATAATGAGTTTTATTGAGTTATATACAAACAAGTTGCAGCACATATACGAATTCATACAAGTTAATATGCTAAACGTTAGGAATTATTTAATATTTTTTTTTTATAAAAGACTGATACAAATCTATTCTTGTATTTTTTACTAAAGTCACATTTTTTATAAAGGACGAATAAATGTTATCACTAATTTATGCAGAAATTTAGTGCCCAAAGTAAAAATATAAACAAATAAATATGAAAATTTAACAATAATTAATGAGATATATTCAAAGTATTTAGATGTTCAAACATTATAATGACTAATGATTAATGATAATCACACCAACACATGAAATTTAAGATTTTTGAAAATGCTATGATTTTAATTCAGTCTATTCACAAACCAATAAACTAAAATACTTTGAATATGTCTTTTGAACATTTTTTCTATTACAAATAAAATAGTATTACAAAAATTCATTCTACAAAAAGGCACTTGCGATTTTAATATCAAAATAATCAAAAAAGATATAAAAATCTTGGGAAAATATTGCCAAACAATCATTAAAAAAAACAAAATTTCGGGGATACACTTCTTATGGAATTTCATTTGCTCATTTTATTAATATCACAACAATAAGTTGAGTGCAGAAATAATTGGAATGATCTGAAAATCATTCCTTTAATAACGTTTGAAAAACGAGTGAAATACACAACACTTTTTGAGCTAGTCTTAGACTAAATCGTGATAAATTTGTTGATCACTAGTTCAAGTAATATATGAAAATAATATATAGAAAAAATCTTATGTTGAAACATCCAAAGTATAAGATTGTACTAAACTATCCAAAAATAAAATAAATTTTACAATGGTGTCTTGGAAATATATTAGACTATCCACATTTTTATTTGGGGATGTAAATTTATTTAAGTATATTGTGTGTTCAGATAAACAATATGTATTTAAACTGAAGTTAAAATATTTCAAATTCTACTGTAACATAATTTAATAAACCATGATACTCAAATATTTTTGCTGTAAGTACCTAGAAATATGACTGAACCATCAGTAGTTAAGGGCTTTAAATGATGGTTCTAATAAAGTTAAATATACATTTTATTGTTATACTAAACTTTTAGAACTGTGAGTGAGATTCAAAGATTATCATTCTATTTTATTATGTAGTGTGTGTTCAAAGAAAATTGACCACATATGAAAAACATATTTAATTTTCTTAGAAATTGTTTCATAGAATGCTTCATAGGAGAAGCTATATCGCAAAAAAAGTTTAAGTAAATCATTGAAAATTTTTAAAATTCAAAACTAATTGAACAATTAGATATAGGGATTACTATTTACAGAAATCAACTAATGACAAAATTTTACAATTCTGACGATTATCGGTTTAAAATATAGGAACACCTTGTAGGTGTGTAGAGAGTCAATAATAGAATTCAGTCTGTCGAAATT